GATGCAAATATTTTTGTTACACAAAGCTAAAAAGGTATACACAAGAAGGTGTGCCGTAATGTACGAATCTTTTGCTATGTATTCGTACCACAAACGTTCTTAAATAAATAGTACCCTCGAACAAGACTGTAACTACGCAATAGCAAATAGAGCCCCGGGATATGAAGTCGAAGGGGCTGCCCTTTCCGAGCGCCTACAGAACTCCGACAACGCAACATTTCCATAAAAAAAAATCCGGCAAAAGAATGCTCAAACTGAAGTCCTTCCTTTTATTCTACAATCAATAATTCCACACTAATAAAAAAGCCTATAAAACACTAATGACTTAAAAATTAAATTTTTCTTCGACCAACAATAATATAGAATTCATGGCCCACGTTAGGTTTATTTCTCGTCGTAAATCCTTTAAAGTTTAATATTATATCAAAATGTTAGGTGACGAAAACCGCATTGCATTGGATTCTTACCGAAGGTTCAGCGTCCCAGAGGACTAAATAAAACAGATGTTACCTTGCCTATGACTACACGAGTCTGACACTTTTACGAGCGTAACTTTATATAAAATCTGATGTGTATCATTTATGTACGTGACCTATTTATTTAGGTACGACCATCAGGTATGTAGTTAGTAGATATGGTGTCGCCGATACGAAGTTAATATCAAGGTTGTTTGCACTCAAACATACCTAAGTCCTTAGATGTCCCGAACATTTTATTCATTACTAGCGAGGCCGGCTTCGTACGGGTGCTATGTGCATGTATTATACATATAAACATTCCTTAAGAATCACTTTATCTAGAGGTATTAAAAATAACCTCATCAAAATCCGTTGCGTAGTTTTAATGATCTAAGCATACATAGGGTAGACAGCCGGCGAATAGCGACTTTGTTTTATACTATGTAGTGATAAAAAACATTAAAAACTTGTTTTCAGTTATATCGTTAGAGGTCCATGAAAAAGCGACAGTTTGTATGTTACGTAGTGTACCAACTTTATTCGTTTGCAGTTTGTGAGTTTCGCAATGAGAACATTATTATTTCGGTCCCTATTAAACCGACTTTCCTCCTATTAATGAAGCCATTATAAGACTTCCTGCCTTTTCCATCAAGTGGACCGCGCTCTTAACAGTGTAGCTATATAATATTACAAACAACAGTATAGCTATACCTACACTTATTATTGTATCGTGAAATCTATCCTACTTTCAACAAAGAGTTTTATATGTATATAATCTATGTAGGTACTTACAATTCCATTCGAAAACAAACTTGAGGGTTTTTGTAATTTTTCAGCATAAAAAGAACTTGAAGACTAAGTATTAAACTAATTATTTCTGTATTCCATAACAGATAACAATAACTATTTAACTTTAAACAGTGCCAAACAGCTTCTAGTATCAGTGCCTAGTAAGTTTACGATGCATTCTAAATTGCTAATAGGTTATCAACTATTCATGTTTCACCGATAGGTACAACATGCAGTACCTAGTACCTACATGCATAATGAAGGATCTCGATAGCGGCATCCATTACAGACCTTGGACATAGCCTACAGGTTTTATATGAAACTAGCTTTATCATGCGATTTTGTCTGCATACCTTTGTTCCCAAAAGTAATTTAACAAACTTACTCAGACGTATAACTTCTCAATTTTTCACTTATTAGCCGGTACAGGCTATAGCCTGAACCTACAAACTCTATAGAGTTTTGTAGGTTCGTAAATGTCATTTATACTAACCGGCTAATAAAAGAGAAATTGAAAACTCAAATTCACAAGCATTTATTTCAATTAAACCATAATTTGGTACTTTTGAAACGTCAACAAATATAAAACAGACTATTAGTCTGTCAGTCAGTTCGTCAGTGAAGCTAGTTGCTCGTTCCAAAAAGTAGATTCGAGTGGAGGAGAACGAGCCAAAACTCCATTCGTTACTCTTTTAAAAAACAGTATGTTTACAGGTTTACATGTGTTTTTGCAAGAATCACATACCATGGTAATTATTCTGATGGTATTGAAGAAATGTTGGGCCGCACTGGGACCCGCAATCCCAAATCAACCACGTCAGCAGTGGCTGACCTGAGGATTATGGCTCTCGGGTTCAATTCCCTCGCCAAAAAATAACAATTGTTTGACCTACCGCTACCGCTGTAGAGGAAAATTTTATTTGTAAACGTACCTACGGTATTTCAACAATGTTTATTTTTCTAAGTATTATTGTACAAACCGAAAAGTATTGATTTCTAGAGGCTCGAGGCTAGGCAGGCCGAATTTTCAAATAAGCAAGGGGTAGACGTCGAAATTTAAAGATTCAAGTTAATCAATTTATTAGACTCTCATGACGCGCAAATACACAAAAGTCATTCACAGTATTCCCATAACCCAATTCGTTAACTCCAAAATTTTAGAAGGAACTTATCTAGTACGACAAAACAATATGTATAGTAGATAAACTTCAATATAAATATTCGCGAAAAATATTAATTGGCATAGTCTTCTTACAAGCGTAGGTAGATATTTATTTATTAAGTTTTCTGTTTTCTTGTAGGTACCTGTGGTGATAGTCAACTTCTATTCGATTCAAGACGACGCGTCTATTCTATTTATTCTTTAAACATCTCTTTCTCTACGTTCAAAGTTGCTAATGATGCTAACGTTGGACGGGTAAGCCGCAGATAACAGTTAGGTGTTAAACCGTAACTTTTTAGGATAGCTATTGTGCATAATTACTAACAGGCGGCCGCTTACGGTAATGAACCATTTCCTGCAATTAACTCTAACCACTCGAGCGGGATATCTACAGATTGTCACATTTTATGTTTGTCTCGTTGAGATTTGCTACCTTTATTCATTACACCACATAAGTATCGAACAAACGCGTTCGAAACCTTTCTTTGTTCATTTTGTAACCTTTTCAGTGCACTAGGCTCTTTATCCTATAAAATGGTAAAATATTTGCTCATTCCTAGCAAATACAGCGAAAGATTTGACCACAAATGCATTTTCTTGCTCACAGGTGTTATGTTTTGGATGTTTGCCAGAAACTGAAAGCAATATCGCACCTCTTTAATTGTACTGTGAAACGCAATTTTACAAAGCGTCGTCGTCTATTTAGAACTGTTTATTTTGATGTTAGTTATGTTGTAAACAATTTAAGTTTTATCCTAAGGTAGGTATGTTACGATTTGCGAAAAGACTTTGGTAGATAGGTACTTACATGGTGTAGAGAGTTAGGTAGGTATTCTCTTACGAATACAATTAATTATCTATTAGGTATCTTACAGAAGTTAAAAAAACCCTCATATTAGACCCATTAAACTGTCAAATACCAAGCGGTCACCTGTGACCGCGACCTATTGTTCTTTAATTGTGTCTATAAAACCGGTACTCGACGAGTTAAGTATACCTAGGCGGTACAAACAAATACGAAATGACATATTGCTGTAAGATTAATAATAAACACCCAGTTTTTGACTATTGATATCGCCTACCCTGCTCTATTGAACACCAGCAATTCGCCCTAAATTACGGCGCTCGGAAAAGAAAATGTTGTTTGCAGATGACATGAATACATTCATTCACAGATGGATATTGCCGCTCACCCTTCTCGCAGTACGCAATTACGTCCTTTAGCGCCCTTTGGTGACCTTTCATAACACCACGGTAAGTGATGATGCAGACCTATTCAATCCCGAGATTCGCAGTTTGAAGCTTCGAGACAAATTCAAATAAAGGAGGCTTCTACTTCTAGATTCCAGTTAGAATTCTAATCTGGGGTTCTGAATGTATTCGATAAATGTCGATGGGTAATTTCTTTCTGATTTTCTTCGGGCTTTGTGTAATAGGTTAGGTAGTTGTTCGCTGGTCTGTGAAACATTTTTTTCTATAAATAAAAGGAAACGTGGAATTGAGCGTGATATTTTGTGTAAGTTAAATCAAAATTGATAAACACTGCGCGCTATATGTTATCTGGCAATGCACTTGCTAATGAACCTTTAATCACGACGTAGTCTGGCGGTAGGCCAGAAAACATTCACTTACATAGGTGACTACATTTAGTTAATTGACTTGTCTACAAAGTGATTTATGTCTTATCACATATTTTAAAAGCACCTATGTTTAGTAAAATTAGATAGGTAGGTAGGTACCGTTGGGTACCTAAATTGATAAACCTTAATTTGAAATCTCTGTAATTACTAGATATTTACATAAGTTATAGCATTGCATATGTAAGCCTAGTACTTATAAACAGTCTCCTCTCTTTAGGGCCATCGCAACGCTGCTTGATGCGTAGTGGCTTAAAACTCAGTCTGTTTCACAATTTCTGATTAAGTTATTGACAGCGTAACTGATACATATTGCAACAAATAACCGACATTGTAAAACCCAAGAACCATTTAAATAACATTATATTCCGCTAAACCAATATAAGATTGAAAGTACCTATATTATATTAGGTTTAATAAAGTGGTATTATTTATTACACAACAAGCGTATTTCTTCTCAACTTGTTCTCTTCATGTTTTGGTTTTAGAAAAATATCAATAATGCTATATTACTACCGAGTATAGCCCACTTAACGTCAAAAGACGTCGCGACAGGCCCAAAAGATGAAGGCGGGACGAATTGTATATGACTGTGTGACAAGAATTGGCCGCAAAAAGCTTTACATAGAGAGGACTGGAAGGAGGGTACGAAAGCCTATGCCTCGCAGTATGCCCGCAGAGGGACGATCATGGCTGAAAATAATAAATATAAATAGCTATTTTTAATTTTTAAACGATAACATCTGTAATCGGTAACTATATAATTTCTGAATGAACAACTTTACGGAAGAAGTCATTGTCATTTTTCATTGACAACTGACAATTGACAAAATACTTGACAGTTGACACATGTATGTAAGTGAGGTTATATTGTACATGTGAATTTACTGTGTTGTTGATATTCAATATTGATTTTATCTATAGAATTTTGTGCCTTCTTATATATTAATAAAAATGGTGTCAGTAAAACCTAAAGTGCCGCTAAAGGCAAAAAATAAGAAAGATAAGAAGCCTGTTAAAATTGAGAAGCAAAATAAAAAAGCAAAGCCGCAAAAACCACAACCAAAACTTACTCCACCATCCCCGAAAGAAATAAAAATTGTGAAGCAAGTTAAAGAGGAAATTAAAAAAGAAGATGTACAGAAGAAGAAAACTAAATACGTGATGCCTTCAGCGAGTATCACCGATGATTTAGTCAACTCTTGTTTGAGTGCTTTGCTTGATGTTATTGTTCCCAACGATAGACAGAAAAACAAAATCTTCGAAGACGAGAAACCTATATTTGCTGAAATCCACTGTATGAAAATTCAGAACACTAAAGGAAATATAAGATTGTAAGTAACTAAATGTTATATTGAGTTATTTAATTTGATACAATATTTCATAACATTATTTCAATAATGATATTTATTGTTTCCAGCGTGCTACCACACAGCACCGTTGCTTCCACTGGAGAAGTGTGCTTAGTGACGCCAGATATCAAGAAAGGAAGAAAACATGACCATGAACCCACTATTGACCGCTGGGAAGAAATCTTAAGAAAGGAAGGTGTTACTGGGGTAAGTGTTTCAAACATAGAAAAACATGTATATTTGGTTATTATTTTTAATCCTTTATGCTAGGCCTAGCTACCACAAAGTAAAGGACATATAAAGAATGTTATTTATCACCTATTTACTTTTTAATTTTAATATTGTTAATAATTACTATTGCAGGTTAAAACAGTACTACCAGTGAGGCAACTGAAGGTGGAGTATGACCAATTTGAACTGAAACGCAGACTTTTAACTCAACACGACTTTATAATGGTTGACACTAGAGTACTCAACCATGTCTCGCATATACTGGGAAAGATGTTCTTCAAAAAACATAATATGTTGGTCCCTGTTCGAATTAATGAAGAGAAAAATTTAAAGAAAAGTATTGACCTTGGTCTAAGGACTGCTATTTTACGTCTAAGTGAGGGAGAGACCTCAACCATCACCATAGGCCACACAGCGATGCCTAAGGAGAAACTAAAAGAAAACATCATTGCTTTAGTCCATCAACTACAGACTAAATTCCCTGGTGGGGAAGCAAACATTAGAGCCATATCTTTGAAGTTGCCACTATCAGTGTCACTTCCTTTATACCTCACTTTACGTAAGTATCAATTATCTAGAAGAAACAAGTCATTTGACTTAAACCTTTATGGCTTTATTATAAAATTGTTTTTTCATTTTCTAGGGCCATCAAGCACAATTAAACCACCGAAACTGACTCAAAAGAGACCTAAGCACTACACTGTATTGGAAGATGAACTATCAACAATGCCTGGCAAGGCTGTCAGGGTAGCTCCTGATGGTACCGTCAAGCTAAAGAATCTTAAAACAACTCCCAAGGCTAGGTAATTCAATATTCGTTATCATAACTATTAAATTTTTTATTACATATTACAGGTATTTTAAAATAAAACATTTATTTATATAAAACACTGTACAAAATCATACAGTAGTGGACTGCTAGTCAACTACACAGTATGCAAGTTTTGTATTCCTTATTACTTTAGCTTAAAAACTTCATAGAGACCCGAGTTTATTTGTAAATTTTAATATGTAATTTCTTTTATTACAGCAAAAAAGAAGAGAAAAAAGTTGTTGATGATGAAGAAGAAGAGGAATTAGATGATGAAGATGATAGTGAGGAATTAGAAGAATCAGAAACAAATGATGAATAGTTCAATAAAGTCTTTATTAACATTTTACAGGCTTGTAAAAAATCATGTCTTCATTAAATAAATGAGATTTAAATGTGTTTAGAATATTTTTACTTATGCAACTGTGTTATCACTAAAGTTAATAGAAGATGCATTTATTGACCTCCTTATTGGCCATACTTTCTTGAATTTTTTAAAGTTCTTAAGAGAAGTATTGTGAACAACACTAATATCAGTTTCAATAAGTTGTTCTCGCTTTACAATCAAATTATTACAAGCAGTGACTATAGTGCAACATAAATCTAGTTTGTTCATTTGTTCTTCCAACTCTTCAGATTTTTCTTTCTTCAATGTAGGTAATGCATTGGAATTAAGTTCCATCAACTCTTTAAGTTTAGAACCTCTCATTGCTGATATCTCATCTGCTGTAAGCGACTGGATTTTAGGAATAGTCTGTTTTTCTTCAACTGCATCATCAGAATCATTTTTCTTTTTGTTCAAGTTGAAAATGCTAAAGTTTTGTTTGAAAGTATTATTAGTGTCAGACTTGACCTCCTGACTATTTTGAACCTCACTTTGAACAAAGTTGAACAGATTTTCATCTTCATTATTGTCATTCATTTTCCTTTTCTGTGGTCTTGCGAGATTGAGTTTCTTAACTTTATTTCCTGTTGTATTATTAGTGGAGCCAGTTTTTACAAAATTAAATACATCGCTACTGTCATTATCCACTGTTTCTGGTGGATTTTGTAATATTTCACTGTTATTCTCTTTATCCATAGCCACCTTTTTTGTGGGGTTCACAGACTTGTCATCATCTGATAGTCTTCTCTTAACACTTTCAGTTTTTATGTTGGCTACCAAGCAAGATGTAGCTAGCTTCTTGTTCGCATTTACTTGGCCTTCCTCACTGAATTTTCTTTTATTTGAATGTCCATTTGCTTGCTCTTCAGACATCAAACTCTCATCTATCACAACATTTTCCTTTTTCTGTTCAGATGCAGAGTCTTGGGATTCAGGGGCCAACACTTTTGAATCTTTTACTGGTGCTGATGTTTGTTTCACTACTTCTGATGTGAAGCTGAAGTTAGGATTACAATATTTGTCTAATGAGCAGTACAATATAGCAAGACCGATCTCTGCATCAGCCACAACTCTTTTACCTTTATTTTTTAATTGGACAACAATGTCATTGATTGTTTTCTTCTGTGTTTGACTTTCTTGACTGGTACCAGTGGCAATATATTGAATAACAATCACATTTTCAGCACATAACATTGAAGTTGTCATTCTACATTCACTCAACAGCATTGGAGTGGCACCACTTTTAATCAACACATTTTTGTACATTTCATGCTGTCTCTTTGAGAAAAATACAAACTTCTTTCCTTTAAACAACGCTTTGCGCCGAGAATCTGGCAGGAATGAGACCACTTCTTTATTGAGTGTGGATTCCACTATTTTCGGCAGGTACTCAGTTGGGTCTGGTAAGGCCTTGAAATTTGTTACATTCTCAAGACACTTGTTCCAAAAATCGACAGTGACAATATCAGATCCTTGCACCAATGCTAACACAACTTTAATAGTCAATGTAATAGCAGGCATAGTTAGGTAATTGCAAGTGTCATCCCAATCTCCCTTCAATATGCCATTAATTTTAGATATAGTCAGTTTCAAATTCTGGAGATTTTCTCCCTTCAATGTTGAGGTACATGTTATAAGATCTATGACTTTAACTTTCCATATACTGTTTATTTTACCAAACTTTACAACATCATCCTCCTGTAACTTTATGTTTACATTGTGTTCGGCTTTGTTGGAATTGACGAAAGTTCCGTATCTAGAACCTAAATCTTGCAAAAACAATTCGTTATCAATTACGGCCAGCGTCACATGCCGTCTACTTATTGAAGCATCATTCGGGATAGCAAAGTTACATACTTGGTTATCAACATTTCTTCCTATGACTATTTGATTAGATGAAACAATATAAATGACTCGATTATCGTTTTCGGATGTCAAGCACCACATATTTATTAATTAATTTTCAAACAATATCAAAATATGAAATTAAGCAAACTGATATGATTTACGATAAATATACCAACTTTGTTGTTGACATTTATGTGACAATGACAGGACAGGTACGTAGCATCGCCGTCACAGATTAAAAAGTAATATACAAACACAGATTATAAACCTAAGTATTGGCATGTACAAAAAAAATCAACAGACATCTTTATGGTATCGTCTCGGCTTTGGAAATTTTCAGTGACATTGACATTAGACATCATTGACAAGAACATCTCCATGGCAACGAATTATGACAAAACAGCAAACAGTATTTTTGTTTTCAGTTTTTTAGATTTGAAGAACCAAGTTCTTGAAATGTAACACTTAAAAAAATATGTTGATAGGCGAATACTCTATAAGTCAAATAAAAATATTTGCCATGTTTTGTCACTTAATTCTTCTTTAAATAATAAATTTACTACTATTCTACAATGACTTTGTATATTGATACAAAACTTAGTTTTAATGATGGTAATGTCGTATCTACAGTGGGAACATGGCACCCTTCTCTGCCTCTTTTGGCTATAGGGTCATACAATCAAGAGAAAGGAGGCTTTGTTACTATATTTCAAGAAAATGTAAGTTTCTAAAATCACCAGTCAGATGCTTTTATTTCGTAAATAATAACTTTTACGTGTTAAATAAGCGTTTTAATTTTAGGGTTTGCCATTGGAAGGATGTGACTGGCCAATATTGTTGTCCAACCAAGTAACTGCCCTTGCCTGGCACCCAATAAGACGACTCTTAGTTGTTGGCTGGGATGGTGGAGAGCTCTATATCTGGTTAGAGTACTCATGGGCACGCTTGGAGGCGCCCCATAATGCTGCTTTGACATCTGTAGCCTTCAGTTTAGGAGGAGGTAGACTCTTGGCTTCAGATGCTGCGGGTTCCTTATCAGGTTGGCAGTCAGGTGCGGGTGCACCACTTACTTCTTTTCACCACCAACTTGGAGATGTCATAACCCATATTACTTTCTGTACACCACGGCCAAGTTCTGAAACATCTATTAGAGGATTAGCTCGTGCTGCAGTAGCTGGAGATGAGAATGCTTTGGATGCACTGGCTGCATGGAGACCTAGAACAACTGCCCGAATGAGGGAAGGTGCCCAACCAGACAACCATTCATGTTATGCTGCTCAAGATAATGGAGTAATCTTATTCATAGATCATAATGGAGCTTGCTCTGAGGTGCTAAATGCCCCTGGAAACATTATATTTATGGGAATTATCAGCAATATCTACCTTCTTGTAGCTTGGGAATCTGGTGGAGCTCTTAGTCTAACCAGATTTGTTATGTCTGATGATGGTTCCCTGATGACTGATACTCATGTAAGAATGGCAGCAAGAAATGGTCAATGTATAGTTCTAGCAGGCAACTTCTATGTGGCAGTTATTACTGGGGACAATTTGATCAGAGTTTGGGATAGTGATACTGGGGACAATGATGTCTTGCCAAATGAGAAGGAGGAGATTGTTGCAGGAGATATCTTCACAAGCATCAGTTACAGCAATTTGAGTGATACTCTTTGCTGTGGGACTTCACAGGGCAACCTGTATCTATGGAGAAGAGACCATAGGAATAATTGGAAACTTATTAGTAGTACTTCTGTAAAAGGTACTGTTAAAGAAGTTAGCTGGGGTTCAGAAGGATTAATGAATCCATTGTTGCATGTAAACTGCATTACAAGCGCATTTGTTCTTCGAGAACAACCAGTCTGTTGGGGATATTCTCCAAACATATATATGGTGCAGAAATCTGCTAATGAAGTTGCTCTTACTAGTAAAAGCAATGTGACATCAATGATCAATACCTCAATAACTATAAGAGCATTTGCTTTTAAAGACCAATATATTGCTCTAGGGGATGGTAAAGAAGTCCAGGTATGTGTCATTGAATTTTTCCTATTTAATATTAAAGTAATTCCTATTATAGCTAATGTGACACTAATCTTCAAACTTCAAATTTTCAGATTTGGATGTGCAGTAAGGACAATGACATAAAATTCTCACTCATCAGAAGTTTCTTGTGGAAGACCGATGTTTTAATCATTTATAATGATGTCTTGGTTGGAGTTGTTAATCCACACATAGAATGCTACTCTATAGCAGGAACCAGTCTGGGAATACTACCCAGTACTGAAGGCGAAGGTGAACCAATCGGCGTCACAAACACGAGCAAGTTTATTGTCATTGCCACTATGGATGGTACACTCAAACTGGCTGAGATCACAAAGAAAGGTCTTAGAATGCCTTACCCTCCTAAAAATTGCTACCAAATGATTGAAGATTTTGGTGAAGTCATGAGAGCGTCAGTTAATTGCACTGGGCGTTATATATCGCTCAGTATCGCTAATGCTGGCTTAGCACCAGATCCCAGACTATACCTGTGGGATGTAGCAAATGATGTCATTACAAATACACTTATAGCTGAAAACTCCACTCCTCCATATCAAAGTGTCCCTATAGCAATATTATGGGACAGTAATGACCCAAGAGTTGTTGCCGTGCATATGAGATCAGCTGAACTCGATCGCATACATCTATTTTTATGTCACGAAGGCAGTCTTTACGAATATAGAAATTGGTGTTCAAGCTCTGAAGATTACTATATGAGTGACTTCATGTTATGCTCTTTATACTCACCGTATGTCGTCATTTTATCACAGCAAAATATTAAAAAAATATTGATCAATGAGTTCGCAGACATAGGTGAAAATGACCCTGCAAATATTCGACAAGTATTGGACTTTCTGTACTATATGACTACTGGATATTTGGAAAAGGCGGTTGTTATAGGAACGACTCTGACAGGTGGCAAAAATTCTATTATTTGGGATAGCTTGGCAAAGGTTTGCGTTGCACGCAAGCGTCCCGATGTCGGTGCTGTATGCTTAGGCAAAATGGGGAACATCAAAGGCGCTTTGATGATGCGCAAAGTGATGAGCGACGATAACATGGACGACACTTGTAAAGTTGCAGTATTAGCTGTCAATCTAGGTATGATCGAAGAAGCTGAAAACCTGTTCAAAGAAGCACAAAGACCGGATTTGATCACACGGTTGATATCAGCAAAGGAAGGTGGTCTTAACGAAATAACCAATGGAACTCACGAGGGCGAAAATATTCTCCTGATAAAGAGTGCGCAACACAAGTTAGCTAAAGTGATGTGGTCAAATGGGGAAACTGGTGCTGCTTTAAAATTATTTGAAAGTGCTGGGACACTGGTACCTCATGTCCCTAGGATGCTTGTAGCACAAGGACAATCTGCAATACTGGCACAGTATGTGACCAATTCGAATGATGCCAGCCTAATAACGTGGTGGGGGCATTATTTAGAAAGCATTGGTGATCTAGATGGTGCTTTAGAAGCTTACGCCAGGGCCAATGATTTTGGAGAGCAGACCAGACTTTTGTGTCATCAAGACAGAGTAGAAGAAGCTGAAAAGCTTTGTCAGAAGAACAGATCTTCGCTCTACCAAATGGCACGATATTTAGAAATGCAGTCGGATAAAACTGAAAGTGCAGTGAAGGTAACAACATGTTTGCAATATGCTCTTTAGGTATCTGAAGCAATATGGTTCATTTTTTGCTGACAAAAACTATTTATCTCCGATTTGTCGTTACAGATGTATATAAAATGCGGAGCAATTTCGTCAGCAATTCGAGTAGCTGCTGAGGCGAGTGCGTGGAACCTTGTTTGGCGCGCAGGGTCCACCTCACCCACTCACGCTCTGCATGCTGCTTCCATACTCGAAAACGCTGGACAGACAGAGCAAGCCATAGCCCTGTATCAGAAAGCAGGTAAACGCAATAGTATACAAGTGTTTTCTTTTGTCTTATAAACATAGAAAATAGTAGTCATAAAAATCCTTTAACAGAAGTCTTCACTACCAGCTGCTATACGTTAATCAACTTAATGCTTGTCTCTTAATGCTCTTAACAGAATAAATATTTACTGATACACTTAACAGACGGCTTCGTGACTGCATTTACGTAAAGTAGCTAAGGACAGCTAATATCCCATAGGATATTATATTATACCTCGATATATCTAAATACCTACATAATTAAGCATTATCTAACCCTGTTCAGGTAAAGTGCACATGGCATTGAAGTTGGCGGTGCACAGCGGCGACACGAACGCAATCATCGCAGCAGTAGATGCTCTTGGCGACAAAGTGGATCCAGAACTAGCTAATACATTGGCTGCTCACTTGAGGCAAGCGAATCAGCACTCACACGCTGCTGCATTACTAGCAACTGCTGGAAAGGTGAGCAACTTTATTATTTGACTTTTTTGAGACATGATATCTTTGCTTTACAGTTCATCATAATTAGCCTGTTTTCTTTGTTCTTCTTAAGTTCTTATGAATATAGATGTGGAGGATTTGAAGATCTTCAAATTCACATCCACAGTTGTTATTCATCGCATCACACATCTTCCACGTCCAGGCCGTCCGCTAGCTATTCGAACCGCCGCGTGCAAATACCGATTATGTCGCCCCCCTTTTTTGTTGGGTGGGTTTTTAATGACTCTTGATGAAGTGACTCTTACAACTCTTATTAACTAAAAACCACCCTATACCTTCCAACACTTGCTCAAAGCCAGGGTCTCAGTACCCGTATGACAACCTACCCTCCAACAAGGCAACAATCCTGGTGGGCCCCGTCTATGGTAAAGTGATGACTCTTTGAAGCCCGCATGATCGGGCGCCGCATGCCCGCATGATCGGGCGCCGCATGCCCGCATGATTGGGCGCCGTATGCTCACATGATCGGGCGCCGTCTCTCATATTTCTTAATCTTTATTATCCACTCTCAAAGACCGTTCGTAACAAATGTTTTATCCAATATCAGTCTCATAGCTTATTTTACTTCTAAGATACATATTTTGATTCCAGTATGAAGAAGCTTTAGATATAGTAGAGCAGATACCGACTCCACTAACTGAAGAGCTCAGTGAGAGATTAGCAGCGCCTGCCGGTACCACAGGTAGAGATGCACTTCTTAGAAGACTGGCTGATGTTTTGGGAGCCCGCGGTCTTTACCACCAAGCTGCCAAACGATTGGCACATGCTGGAGATAAGGTACACATTAGAGCACAGATTTATATGCTTTAACTGGTTACTTGAAAAGCATTTGTAGTCAGGCTATTGCGGCTTTTGTGACACTCGCTGTAATATTTTGGTCTACATTTTCGCTTCACAGTGTTTAAAATGGATGTACTAAATACTGTTCTGGGGGCCTCCACAAGCAGGGGGCCTCCACAATAGACTTCGGAAAAAAAATCTTTCTACTAGTAAACCTAGTAAACATCTTTTCTTTGGAATTTTTTTCTTGCTTTTACCTTTACCTACAGCCTAAAGTACTTTATACCTCGTGTGTTCATAAGTTTTGAGACAAACTTTTTGCTTATAAAAATAAAATAAAAATTACTGGCTGCTGTATATTTCTTTTTCTAATTTTGAATTTGGAATGTTAACTTTTAATATCTATGATTTCGGATTATTTTATTTAAATTTTCTCGTAATGGAGAGAACAAAAGAATTACGTGCGACCGTCATTTCATTATTTAAGGTGGGAAGAAAATCTATGGACATTTTCCGAGGACTCAAATGGCTCTGATAAGCACTTCCAATTTACTACCCATCTTGAGGGAGTACCCCAATGGCTCAATGGCTCAGTGGGATGGTACTTGCCCGCAACCTCGGAGGTTGGCTATTCGATTCCGTGTCTCGACCATTAAAAAAATTAATTGCAGTATGTGAACAATTGGTATTCTTCAATTCTTAAAATCGAAATCTGTCGAGCGTCCTCGAAATCAATCGAGCGTCCTCGATCGTTTTCGGGCGTCCTCGATTGTTTTCGAGCGTCCTCGAAATCTATCGAGAGTCCTCGATCGTTTTCGAGCATCCTCGAAATCTATCGGGCGTCCTCGAAATCTATCGAGCGTCCTCGAAATCAATCGAGCGTCCTCGATCGTTTTCGAGCGTCCTCGATTGTTTTCGAGCGTCCTCGAAATCTATCGGGCGTCCTCGAAATCTATCGAGCGTCCTCGAAATCAATCGAGCGTCCTCGATCGTTTTCGAGCGTCCTCGATTGTTTTCGAGCGTCCTCGAAATCTATCGAGCGTCCTCGATAGTTTTCGAGCGTCCTCGATTGTTTTCGAGCGTCCTCGAAATCTATCGAGAGTCCTCGATCGTTTTCGAGCGTCCTCGAAATCAATCGAGCGTCCTCGATCGTTTTCGAGCGTCCTCGATTGTTTTCGAGCGTCCTCGAAATCTATCGAGCGTCCTCGATCGTTTTCGAGCGTCCTCGAAATCTATCGGGCATCCTCGAAATCTATCGAGCGTCCTCGAAATCAATCGAGCGTCCTCGATCGTTTTCGAGCGTCCTCGATTGTTTTCGAGCGTCCTCGAAATCTATCGAGCGTCCTCGATAGTTTTCGAGCGTCCTCGATTGTTTTCGAGCGTCCTCGAAATCTATCGAGAGTCCTCGAGTGTTTTCGAGCGTCCTCGATCGTTTTCGAGCGTCCTCGATTGTTTTCGAGCGTCCTCGAAATCTATAGGGCGTCCTCGATGGTTTTCGAGCATCCTCGATTGTTTTCGAGCGTCCTCGAAATCTATCGAGAGTCCTCGATCGTTTTCGAGCGTCCTTGAAATCTATCGGGCGTCCTCGATTGTTTTCGAGCGTCCTCGAAATCTATCGAGCGTCCTCGAAATCAATCGAGCGTCCTCGAAATCAATCGAGCGTCCTCGAAATCAATCGAGCGTCCTCGAAATCTATCGAGAGGCCCCGATCGTTTTCGAGCGTCCTCGAAATCTATCGGGCATTCTCGAAATCTATCGAGCGTCCTCGAAATCAATCGAGCGTCCTCGATTGTTTTCGAGCGTCCTCGATTGTTTTCGAGCGTCCTCGAAATCTCTCGAGAGTTCTCGATCGTTTTCGAGCGTCCTCGATCGTTTTCGAGCGTCCTCGATTGTTTTCGAGCGTCCTCGAAATCTATCGAGAGTCCTCGATCGTTTTCGAGCGTCCTCGAAATCTATCGGGCGTCCTCGAAATCTATCGAGCGTCCTCGAAATCAATCGAGCGTCCTCAATCGTTTTCGAGCGTCCTCGATTGTTTTCGAGCGTCCTCGAAATCTATCGAGCGTCCTCGAAATCAATCGAGCGTCCTCGATCTCAATCTGGAAAATAATTTGGGGCAAGGGGCCTCCACTCCTTTGTTGCCCCGAGGCCTCTGGACCCCTAAATCCGGCCCTGCTCATATCTACAAAACAACATTACAGGCGGGTGCAATGCGATGGCTTATGCGTTCAGGCGATGCGGATCGCATAGCAACCTTCGCGGCGGCTACTCGCGACCGCAACGCTCAGTTAATGGCAGCCGACTACTTGCGTCGCCGCGCTGACTGGAGAACTCGACCTGACCTCATGAGGCACATACTACATTTCTACACCAGAGCTAAGGCGTATGGGAAACTAGCGGCTTTCTACGCTGAGTGCGCTAAAGTCGAAGTTGATGAGTATGAAGTGAGTACCTACTGACCTTTTTAGAGCAACACCGTATTTTAGTTCTAAATAATTATGATCTAACGTTTATTTTCCTTTCGGGTTTACATTCTTCATTACATTTACGCTTTCATTTTTCAGAACTTCGATAAGGCTTTAGACGCGCTCAAGGAAGCTATCAAGTGTTTAGCGAAAACTTCTGATACCGATACAGGTAATGAATTACATCGTGTACAGGAACTACTTGTTTCTCCTATGTTTCTTTATTGTAAAATGATTACCTTGAATTTCTGTCTAGGGGCCCAAACAACAGCGCTACAAGAGCAAAGTGCAATCGTCAAACGGTTCATAGATGTAAAAAAAATGTTGGAAACAGGAGAAATTAATCCAGGTGAGTACTTGTGCATAATAATATGTATTTTTATTTTTATAGGATAGAGACTTGCAAAGGAGATATTAAGTGCATTACTGACTTTTCTTTATTGGCCCTTTACGTGACGCATACTTATTGTATTTGTAAAGTAATCTTTCTTAAGCACTGCGATACTTTGCAGCATTATCATTGCTTTTAACTGTTACCTACAGAATTTTTTAAAATACCAATAAATGTTCTCAGGAGTTGTCGCTGGTCAACAGCTTCTGCGCGCCGTAACTGGTCGTCCGGGATTGATATCGGAAGAGAAAGTTCTGCGATTACTGTTACAATATGCACCTAACCACGCCGATGCTCCTCGTAAGTACCTACACGACAAAAAGTATCTGCTAGCGAACAACGATCCAAGAAAAATCGTCCTTGATAGTCTCGGACAGCCAACTGGGTACTCGAGATTAATATTTAAATTTTCTATATCAATCTGCTATAATTTTGTGGTTCTTATTTAATTGTGAACCTTTTTTGTAACAGGATTTGAAAACCAGCTTAAATCTCTTCAGCAACAACCAGAAGAACATAGTTTGAGTCCCGACTCGACAGATCACAGTATTGAAGAAGTTATATAAGATTATTTAAGTGATTTCAAGAATCCGTCCATTCCATTCCATGACATTAATCCGTCCGTATTTATTAACTTGTGTTAGAAATAAGTTTAATTTCTTGAAATAAACTATAATAAAGCTTACATTTGCCTATATTTTGTACTTTTTACGGACCTGTAATAAGTATTACTTTAGAGAGGCCTCTGTTTATCTTTCGAATAAACTTTTCTAGTGCTACCGATACCTAGGTATTCCGAAAAGAGCGTGATGTTACCATAGATTATAAATAAAGTCCTGCTGCTGCTAATAGTAGTAAAATACTTAGCAAACTAATTTATAATTATTTTGTAGATCTTATTTCTATATTAGTATAAATACAGTTTTAAAAAACTATCGAGAATATAAAACTGCAAAACTATCGTAGTTAGAAACGGAGACAACAGCTGATTTACAAAAATGACATTCACATTGACAGCTAACCTAAAATGTTTCGCTTTATTAGTTTATGATTTTTAGAATTTATGATACTAAATAAATGTAACTGAAATTGTTTATCAATGAAAATAATATAATTGACAATGGTGAGACTCATACATAACGTAAGGAGTCTATTTTCTATTAATTCACACAGGTTTCCAAGGTTTGTTTCTAATTTATTTCTGTGATCTATTTGCTAAACTTTTCTGTAAATATTATCGTATATTTTTACGATTTTAGAATTGTATCGCGACGGCTAAACAGTTCAGACGCGTCAGACAAAAATATAGATGTGTCAAAGATCCGAAACTTCAGTATCGTCGCTCATGTTGATCACGGTAAAAGCACTTTAGCAGACAGACTACTTGAAATAACTGGGATTATAAAACCTGGAGCTGAACATGCACAGGTCTTGGATCAATTGCAAGTAAGTACAAGACGAAGATGTTCAGTCCATTAAAATCCTATGAGAAAAAATACTTAAATAAAATAAATCTAAACCCCAGAGTTGCGGATGACCTAGGTTACCCAGGTTATCAGACTTCATCAAAGTTAAATTTAATATTCTTTTATGGTTATAAACTAAAAATTTGAAATAAGTGAATGTTCCTAGGAAAGTTACTATATTGGAATATGGAGTAGGTACCCTGTACTCCATCTATAACTACACGGTTAACTGCACGATTGGTGCAGTGGCTGGGAAACCGGCTGCCGTGCAACATGTCACGGGTTCGATTCCCGCACGGAACAACACTTTGTGTGATCCACAGATTGTTGTTTCGGGTCTGGGTGTCATTGTGTATGTGAACTTATATGTTTGTAAATGCACCCACGACACAGGAGAAAATCCTAGTGTGGGGAATGGTTACTTAAAAAAAAAATTACCAAATTATAACTCTGTTACAGGTGGAAAGAGAAAGAGGGATCACAGTAAAAGCTGTTACTGCTTCTCTAAACTATACATACAATAATGAGAAGTACTTGCTCAATCTCATAGATACGCCAGGGCATGTTGATTTCTCCAATGAGGTAAACTAATTTTTTTCTTTATAATTAATTCAAGCAGCCTTGCTGCTTTCTTCATATTTAAGCTCCTGGCTGTCTTCAAGGCCTGAGTGAATAGGTTGATATGGGTTGACATGCTCCATCGTAGACCACATCATCGGGTACCAGCAGGTGAGATAGTGGTCCAATATCAGCCCATCAAATATATTCTATAAATAGTACCTATAATTCACTAACCCCTAGTTTAATGAGTTGTGTTGCAACTTAAAATGAACTAAATAATAATCAATGTAAAATTCAATATTACTTTTATCATTCAGGTGGTTCGAAGTATAACAGCTTGTCAAGGAGTGATAATGTTAGTAGATGCAAATGAAGGAGTACAAGCACAAACAGTAGCCGTGTACTCATTGGCTAAAAGAAACAACCTCCTTATAATACCTACTTTAAACAAGGTGGATTTACCTAGAGCTGACCCTGAGAAGGTCAAATCACAATTACAATCTCTATTTAAAATAGAACCAGAAAGTGTACTAAGTATATCAGCCAAAAAAGGTTGGGGGGTCAAAGAGTTGTTGGAAGCTGTTATCACCAGGATTCCCCCACCTACAGTAGACACTAAGGGTCATTTTAGAGCGCACATAATTGATACTTGGCATGATAAGTACAGAGGAGTGCTCTGTTTGGCTTATATTCATTCTGGTAAAGTTAAAGTTGGTCAAGCAGTCAAGTGGAAGTCTGATTCTAAGCCCCAAATGGTAAAATTTTTAGCTATGTTGAGACCAAATGAGGAGCCTATTGAAGAGGCTGTGGCTGGTCAAGTTGTCATGGTAGGTGAGTGATTTACAATGTTATTATTTTTACATAGATTTGATTTTATAGTCTAGTCTTTGATTGAATGACTGACTATTTTGAGGTAAACTTGCTAGTTCTGTAACTCCCTCTTTTTGCCACAACTGAATGCCAAAGACCATACCTCGATGATGCTCTTCAAGACCCTAGAACTGAACTCAAAACCCCTTGCTCAGTATCCCCATTCATAACCACTTAGCCAGTAAGTCAACTGCCCCATTTACAGAAATAATTTTATTTCAGGCTGTGGTCCAAAAGGTGGCGGCAGTGTCGGCGATCAGTTATTGGCCAAGGAATTAGACGACAGTGACTCTCGGTCGGCAGTCCCACCAGTGAAACACATGGTGTATGCAGGCATCTTCCCAGCTGACCAATCACAACACCCACAACTGAGTGACTCTATAAAGAAACTGGCTTTAAATGATTCTGCTGTTACTGTTACTCCTGATTCTAGGTAATTAGAAATATTTAGCCAATCTCCTCTCATACTCGGTCAAAGGTCGGCAACGCATTCGTAACCCGTCTTGCGGTACGGGTATCCATCGGCGTCGCTGTTAATCCATCTGATCGATTCACTTCTATCTAACTAACTGATTTAACACAAATAAATCAATTTAATGTGTTGAACCAGTACTGTATTTATAAATGCAAATTACGCTGTTCTATTAAGATTAATAATTTCATATATTTGTTCAAAATCCTATAAATTACATTTTTAAATACTACTTAACAAAAACTAAAAAAATATATATTTAAACGTATTAAAAATAGGAGGAGCATGATCCAAGCTACGGGTGGTAAGGTTTCCAAAGACAGAAACCTCCTCACGATACGTGCCATTTCTAGAAGGGCTTCTGTATCACTTGACCCAGCCTAATCATATTATTATGACCTCTTACACGTGACAGCGCCTGTATATCCGCATCATCTAACTTATCACGTCAATTACTGCTTAAATCCGCCATTAAAACAAAATTCGTCAATTACATCGTTATTTTTCCTTTCAGTCCAGCTTTGGGTCAAGGTTGGCGGATTGGTTTCTTAGGACTATTGCACCTTGAAGTGTTTACACAACGTCTACTACAAGAATACAAAGCCGAAGCCATATTAACTGCGCCCTCTGTCCCTTATAAAGTGAAGTATGTCAATGTTAATTAGAATACCTGAACATAACATATCATCATCTTAAGAAAACATAACATAACATCACGCCTTTTTATCCCCGAAGGGGTAGACAGAGGTGCACATTTCGGCACTTAATGCCACTGTACAATGTAACACCCACTTTTCACAATTTATGTTATGAGTCCCATGTAATAGGGGGTGAGCCTATTGCCATATACCGGGCATCTTAAGAAAATTACATTATTAATGTTGGATTAATTTATTTCACCGCTGAAGCTGCGATTAAAGCACTAATAAATTTGATTTAACCTTCAATAAAAGCTTCACAGTACTAATGATAGTCTTGTAATACATGCGTAATTTGATATTTTCAGAGTAAAAGGAACAAAAGCAATAAAACAATACAAAGGTACTGAAGTTATTGTTACGAATCCTTTACTGTTGCCCGACGTTAATAACATTGAAGAATACTATGAACCATTTGTAATAGGTAAGGCAGCTTAATAACTTATTATACCACATTCAAGCTTGTACAAGTAGAAACGATTCATCATATACCTGACTTCTGAGTCATTCATTTTCATTTGCGACAACTGCCTTATTGTTACCCAAGGCATGAGTCTAGCGGTCTCTAGTTTAACCGAACTTCCGAATATTTAGTAGTAATCCTTACTAATATTATAAATCGGAAAGTGAGTTTGTTTGTTTGTTCCGCTTTCACGCCGTAACTACTTAACCGATAGCTTTGAATTTTTGCAGACGTAAAGTTAGAAGTCCAGATTAAATAATAGGGTACTTTTTATCCCGGAAAAATTTGATATTCCCGAGGGAAAACAAAAGTATTGGTATAGATGGCGCTGTGTATATCGTTATATGTCACATAGGCTACTTTTTATTCTTTTGTGACGCGAGCGAAGCCGCTGGTAAAAGCTAGTAAAATAATATAATGAAGTTTAGAATGTTGTGCATATTCTAAGAATTTTTTACAGGTACAATAATAACTCCCGTGGAGTACCTAGGAGCAGTGACGTCTCTATGCATAGACCGTCGCGGCACACCCCTGCCCTCAAACGCAGTGGACGACAGAATGACAATGTTGCAGTATATTCTACCCCTGTCTGAAGTCGTCATTGATTTCCACGACACGCTCAAAAGTATCACTTCAGGATTCGCCAGTTTTGACTACCAGGATTATGGATTCCATCCCAGTGCGCTAGTTAGGGTATGTTGATTTCGCAAAATAATATTTGGAAATGACTACTATGACTAGCTCGTTTTTCTATTGGTAAGAAGTATGACTTCCGATTCCGAGCAAGAAGTCTCGGGTTCAATTTTCAGACTGGCAAAGTCCGAAAATAAAAGCTCTGTTTCGATTCTCGAGTCTGGCAAGGTATGTCATGACTAGATTTATTTTATCGCTTCTAAATTTAAGATGAAGTTAGTATAATGCATTTTACAGATGGACATCCTAATCAACGGCGTGTTAGTGGACGAGTTATCTACAATAGTTCATACTAGTCGATTAGAGTACAACGCAAGGAGGCTTACTGAGAAACTCAAGGAAATGATTCCAAGGCAGATGGTACAGGTAAGAAACGATGTAACTCATTTGTCAATTCTAACTCATTATACAAGAGTGAGAGAGAGACTGCCTCGCTGGCCGAGTGGTCGGAAGTGCGACTGCCGGGCCGGGCAAATTATTACTGGGTTTTTTAAAAATTCTCAGTTTGCACGGAGTCTGGAATTGTGCCCGGTATATAGCAATAGGCTCACCCCTATTACATGGGACTCATAACATAAATAGTGAAAAGTGGGTGTTACATTGTACAGTGGTATAATGTGCATCTCTGCTTACCCCTTCGGGGATAAAAGGCGTGATGTTATGTTATGTTATACTGTATACAAGAGTTCGAAAAAGCTTGATAAGTTTCTAGCCTTAACAGGGCTCATAATCAAGAGCAACATTTTTTATTTCAATTATTTACTGATTTTTTATAAAAATCTAATAAAATATTAACTCTATAGGCAATGCTATGTAACTGACTTTGAACTTTTTATTTTAGGTCGCCATTCAAGCAGTTGTTGGTGGTAAGGTGTTTGCTAGAGAAACATTGAAAGCATACAGGAAGGATGTTACAGCTAAACTGGTAAACTTGAATAATATTTACAAAACCATACATTTCATCAACTACCATCTAGCTAATATTATAAACTAACTGTTGCCTGCGACTTTGTCCGCGTAGAATATGAATTTTAGAATAAAAATGTATTTATGTTTCAATTTTCCAAAATAAATGTAACCTTTGTTACTCTTTAGTACATCAGCTACCTGCTAATAAGTCTTGTAAAATAGGTCCAGCCCTTCCAGAGATTAGCCAGTACAAACAGACAGACAAAAATTGTAAAAACTATAGTATGTAGTAAAAAGCGGCTATTTTTTTATTATCTGTGTAGATGCAAAAGTTTGTATGTTTGTTAATCCTTCACGGCAAAACGGTTGAAGGGATTGGTATGATATATGGTCTGGAATAACACATACTTTTCTTTCCACGGGACCGCAGGCGAAGCCGCTGGCAGAAGCTAGTATTTAATAAACAATTTCTCAGCTCCATATGTTTGGCAGTTCCTGGTGAACTCTAAAAATTGTAAACAAAATTTGATGCTGTTTTTTTTTCACTTATTTTATTATTAATTTGACTTGACCGTTATTCGAAGCTTATTTAATTGAGATAGGCCTTCTGCTTCCCTCCTTCCGCTTTTTCTATATGTCTATCTCTTTCTACTACGTCACTTCCACTTGGCAGTGGTGGGGAGGCTTGCTAAGAGAGACTCGCTATTTTTATTTCATTGGCGTCTTGTTTCCCGCCTTGAACGGTTGTGCCTTGTGAATCACAAGACAACCATTCACAAGTTGTGAAACTACCTTCCGATTTTATTATTATTTCTTTTATAAAAGTGATAAATGTCCTAACGGCTTTTATTACAATTGTAAAAATTTTAAATTAAATAAAGCTTAGTCTTTCGTTATCTATTATGGAATTCAGGTAATAATTGCGATTATTCATGTTGTTCCTGAACACTTCTTCGTATGGAAGTGTCGACCTAAACGTAAGTTTCGAAAACTAGCAAAACAGGTACGTACCTTTAGCAATAAATTGTATGCACGTGAGTACCATTTTGGACCATGCATTTCTGTCTAGTGTTATTGAAAATTTTTAAGAATATCATTTTGATGTTGATGACCTGATAAATTGTATAGAAATTATGTATGTCTATCAAAGTGTGTCTTCGGATAAAACTCGAGAGCTGTGTTCCCAACAGAACTGTTGGTTAATTCGGTACAGTCTTGGACTGTATATTGCATACGTGGAATTGCTGACGCGATACCCTATGCTATAGCTATGCTCAGAAATTCGGGTGGATTTGTACCACTATACGAACAAAGAACGAAGGTTCTGTTCGAATGTTAATAATATTGCACAGTTATTATTTTGTCTGTTGTACCTAATTGTCTTGGGAGATTACTGTGCAAATATAGAAACCGATGTACGTTCCTATAATATAAAATGTTGCTTTGAGATTAAACTTAATAGTGTACTTGATTAAATATTGTGTGCACTTTAACAAGGGGTTTTTGGGAACCCTTCAAGAACTGCTTACATGTGATATGCTACTTCAAAAGTACCCTTTTTCCACAGGGGATTTTAGTAAGTACCTAGTCTTAAGCTTTATTACAGATGGTTTGTGGACATCGTTCTGAGAATCACCAAATGCTAAGAGGCTTAGCCATTAGATAGACAAAGGACTTCTTGATAAGGCCAATTTGAAGACAATTCCGCCATTATGATATACTAATTTATTCAACGCAGAGAGGTTTACTGCCGCTGTAGAATAAGCTGGTGGCGTGAGAAAATGTTTTTGGCCATTGCAAAAGGTAAATATTACATCCACCTCGCAGGTAGATTCAGTTTCAAGTTTCGCAAGTGTCCCAGGGGCCACAGCCTTACATAGCCCTCGCAGGGTTTGTGCTCAAGTTTTCCAACACATTAATACACATTCGCAATGTGCTAGCAGTATCTCACCTTCGCAAGGTGGTGACAACAGCAATAAACCCGCCTTTGCAAGGTGATGACAACAGCAATAAACCCGCCTTTGCAAGGTGATGACAACAGCAATAAACCCGCCTTTGCAAGGTGATGACAACAGCAATAAACCCACCTCCGCAAGGTGGTTGTATCATATTCATGCTGTTTTATATATTTTTCGGTCGCACCGAAAAATTGTAATATCTTTCGGAGTTGGTCAAATCCTCGGCAGAATAAAATTAGCAAAGTCAGGGGCGAAGACGTGTTAGCGCACCGTCATAGACGCTGCAGCATTGACAACAACGACGTAAGTATTAACAATAGAGCAGACAGTCTCCTGCAATTGGTAGACCGATGGGAACTTGTGAACGTCAGATTATGAAATAACAAGGTATCGCATACCTTTTTACAAAAACTGTTCCTTGTTCACCCCAATGTTGTCTGAACGAATTTGTTGAACTGGAACATCTGTTCATCAAACATCTGTTCCAGAATCTCTGTCACTCTGTTCAGAAATGACATCAGTCATGAACAAAATAACAGAACCGGCAATTCCGGACCGAGCTACTGAGCAGCCAAGCTTCCTACCATTGATATTTCTGGTCCAAGGGCGCCCGCATCGTCCATTTGGAAATTCAGAATTTATATATCAGTTGACCGATTCGTTAATACACATACGTGTTAACACACATAGTATTTCTCATTTTCTACAACCTGTTGGTCTATGCAAAATCGACATTTCTGGGGCGTAGTGTCATTTACCTGTGGCCCGTAGCCACGGAAGGTTTCTGCGCCGAAATTATCGCAATGAATTGGTACGAATGACTAGCTTATCACTAGGCATGAGCGCAGCGCCCAATACTTTTGCTACGATTGTCTCAGACACTTGGGCAATGAGGTGTCGGGATTTTTTATTGCCACCAGGACGAAGGCCGACTTCCGACTTCGTATTAAACTGGGGCTCTATGTTCTAGAAAAGTTGGTCAATATCAGGGATCCATAGTCAAATCACAAACATTTTCCCGGGAGTAAAAGTTCTGGGATCATTTTGCCATTTAATGCGGAAGAAATGCAAGTCACGCACAGAACTCCAGAGCCTAGTTATTTTTGCTGCGTCTGCAGTTTCAAGAGAAAGGCTCGACTTTCAAGCTTTTCTGATCCTACAAGAATAAAATCTTAAAGTGCGATCGCAGATTGGTTTTCACTTTATCTCATGTGAACAATCTTGTATGAAGGAGCCAGAATTATCATCCTCTGTCGGTCCTACACATGCTACTACCTTCTCATTCCCAGCAGATTGTGCAATGCGTCAGATGTTGCTAAGGGAGCTTACCTGGGCAATCTCTTTCTCTTGGGTTTTCTGGTCAGAGCACGCGAAAGATTGTCATAGCAACCAAAAGAGAACGCTAGCTATTCTAAGAATTTTGGAAGATTCTTGCCTGTTCCTGAAATAGACTGGTTTGATATAGGACGACATCAAGTCTGTCATCGCATATATCCGTTACGAAAGGGGGGGCACCAAGTAGCTCCCAGTCCTGGATTTAACCCTCATTTTCCCATTATACGTTCATATGCGTTAACATACACGTTTTTCATGTACCAGATATGTACAATGCCCAGGCAGATCATCTGTTGAGGTTTTTGCGAAACTTTAGAGAGCATCTGTCTGCAGAATGCACGAACAAAACGGTCTCCATATGCTAAGTTCCACCGATCAACTTATTTGCGTCATACCGAGTACATGTAATGACAATTACGTGCCCTTATATCAAAACTACGGACAAGCCCTGTTTTGTGACGCGTTTTCCCACTTGGAAACGTAAAACTCAGCGGGGGTGTTCTTTCCAGCTTTTTTGATTTCTTAGGTCCTGGATTCTCTCAATCAGGCACAGAGAACGTGCCTACTAGTAATTCCTAAATGAGAGAGAGTTTTTTGAGTGTCTCGAGAGGTAGTAGTTTTTTCCCCGTTTCTTTACGCTTTATCACCTAGACAAAGTCCTAATTAAGAACAAGGCGGCCACCACCGAGCGTCTACGACATGACCTTGGAAGTGTGGAAACGTGAGCCGTCTGGAATACTATTAAAATGATACTCTACACAATTAAAATTTCTTAAGAAGTCATGGCGTCCGTCAATACGTTAAATCTATAGTGCAGTCCTCAAAAGGTTGCACCGCACCGGAGGGGGGGGGGAACCCCTCGGCTCCTATAGCAAGATTTTTGATTACATTTTATCTATATCTGATCTCTATTGAATCAATAATTTGTCGTACACTTAAATTTTGTACAATCAAAATCTGTGGTTACTGTCCTTTGTTAACCAGAACCATATGTCCTTTAGCATTTATTGCTAAAAACTATACAATCAGTAACATTAATCTAACTTATGAACTAACACATCAGTTAGTCAGTTAATCTCAAATGTAAGTAGATATGTAAAACGTATAGTAAATGGTGATTGACCATGTCAATCCCCCTGTTTGGGTCATAAACGATCTAGCTAGATTCTTAGACAGTAAACTTAGTCTTTCAAGTGCAGAAACAAACAGCTGTTCTATTTCTCCTATACCCCAGGAGATGATTTCATGACTTAATTTTGCTCGATATAGATTCTAATAATTACAGTAATCATAATGACGTACTAGTTTTTCGATCGGTTTTAGATCAAAAACTAATTCTGTTGATTAATTGGATAATAATAAACTAGCTTTCACCCGCGACTTTGCCCATGCATTTCTACCAAGGGAGCACTTAATCGGGATAAAAAGCATCCTATCACCTAAGTCGGCCCATACCCTGCCTGTATACCAAATTTCTAAAGCTTAGATCCAGTCCCCGGTACTAAGCAGACCATAAGAGGCATAACTTAATGGCGTAAGCTGTAATGTTATGTGTCAAATTTGAAAATAATGCAAATTGTTAAAGTTTTGTTTTATTACACGTGAACTTAAACCGGTATAGAAAACTCTAACTGCGGTCAGGATCAAGTTTCTTTTGGCGGTAACCGATATTAAGGTATCAGTAATCCCCCAAGACATCCTGAGGGTTTCAGATCAGCTGTGACCTGAAAAAATTGAGTGGATAGTTATCCTTTTGAAGCGATCCTTTCTAAGTAATGATGATGATGATGATGATGAGTGTATCTTTGCCTTTTTATTCAATCAAGTCGATCAGAAAATTAGAAACAAGGTAATAAAATACCTCAGAGATATATTACATCTGTTTTTGTTCAGATCAAATACAATGTCATAAAGAATAGGTTTTTCTACAATTCCTTTCTTCAAACCATGTATGTTTTAGATACTTACTATTTTACTTAGTTTTTCTATTCCGTGATTTTACCACATCATACCTCGACCGCAGTCATACTACCTCACATTGGCGTCTGTCACTTCCACCAGGCGATAACAAACACGTCTCAATTAAATAAGCTTCGAATAACGGTCAAGTCAAATTAATGGAAGCGTTTTACCTACCAATAAAACGCATATTAATTTACTTACCTTATTCGAAGCTTATAGTCAAGCTCTGCCTGGTAATGAGACTCAATGAAATAAAAATAGCGAGTCTCTCTTAGCAAGCCTCCCCACCACTGCCAAGTGGAAGTGACGTAGTAGAAAGAGATAGACATATAGAAAAAGCGGAAGGAGGGAAGCAGAAGGCCTATCTCAATTAAATAAGCTTCGAATAAGGTAAGTAAATTAATATGCGTTTTATTGGTAGGTAAAACGCTTCCATTAAAAAAAAACATTTCACAAAGTGTAACAGCATGGTAGCTATACCTACTTAAGCACCATGTATGCCTATGATAATATGATTCATTAACATTGTTTACGTGATGTAAACAGTAATTATCTAATCAAATATTATTTATTTATCAGTTAGCAGTCAACATAAAATATTCAAAACCTAGTGACAAAAAGCAATATAAAATCAAACCATACTATGATTTTAAATATGTATAATGCCACTTATTACCATAATTTAGAGTCGAATTTTGCTTGCCATTGTGACAGCTAGGTTGAATAACTTTCACTATATTTTTTTCTTGTGCAATATTTCAGTACGGTGGTGACGTCACTCGCAGGAAAAAGTTACTGAAACAGCAAGCGGAAGGAAAGAAAAAGATGCGCAGCGTTGCCAACATTAGAATACCAAGGGATACCTTCATAGATGTATTGAAAAGATAACTAATAAATCTATATTAGATAGTTATCCTTGCTTTTAATTATTGCAAACTGTATCAATGATTCAGTTACATTTACACCCATTTTAAATTATTTATTTAATTAGGTACTGAGGAAAAATAATAGTCATCTAGAAAAATATACTTAATTTATTTAAAAAAAATTACTTGATTACAATTACAGGACATTGCATGGTTAACAAACATCACAAAAATAATATGATTCTTAAAAAAATATAGTCTACAGAGCTGCTAATCACCAAATGTAAATAGAAACAGCAGAAGTAAAACTAACACTGAACACGAAACATTTCAGAGTCGAGCGCAAATCACTTGAAATCAGATATCACAAAAAACAAACAGTCGAATCGAGAACTTCATCCATTTTAGAAGTCAGTTCATAAACAAATCTTAGACCATTGTATCATATTCATACAGAACACATGACAATAATTTAAATCAGTGTTTTAAACTTTAAAGCAATATGTTGTGAGCCTCGTCACTTATCTACATAAATACACAGCAATATCAAACTACAGATTTAAAAATAAACTTTTCAAATAAACGATATAGTATGATACATTAATATATCCGTTTGGAAGTCAACACGAAGAGATATAATATTCATCGAGATCACAAAGATACGAAAACAAAACATTAACTTTGGCATAATACTTATTATACCGAGTATAAAATTCATGTAAATTATTAAGGAAAGGCACGGTATAAGAAGTAGCATTAAAAGTATATAGAATAAGATATACAGCAATCACGCTTATCAAATGAAACAAATAATTCAACCAATAATCTTGTCCCATCAAGTCATTATCTTTCATGTAGGCAATCTCGTACAAAAGTATGTTATACATTCTTTGGTTGGTCTTGTTTGCACCACTTGATCAATAAATCCATATCACAATCGTTATAATTCTACTTTACTGATTTTAGGTAATAATACAAATAATAAGGAAACTTGTTAATTAAAAACACAATTACTTTTTGTCGCAAAACAGTTGTTTGGCTGTAATATTAGTTGATTGACCACATTTATATATCTAGGTGAAAAAGGTTATATAAATAATATTGTTACAATAACCACATCTTAATAAAGTACTATCCACTTAACTTTTATTCTACATAATGCTCAATTTTGCAATAATATAGTAACTAACAAATATTGATCAAAGATCCAGTCTTAAGTTTTAATAAATCCAATTACTCAAAGTTTTTTTTTTATATGAATGAACTAATATGCAGCTGAAAAGCAAGCTTTTTTACTATAAAATGAATGAACACTCCAAAATTCAACGATTAAACTGTTCCTTTTAAAAGGTTATAAGAAAAACAAACAAAACCAAATAATAATTCTTGTGACATCAGAGTTCTTTTGGATTTTCCAATACCTAATAATAATTTCATACTAATGATTTTTTGCAGATATAATCTGCCCTAACCATAAAAACAAAACATACATAATATTTTTCACATAGATTCTGAAACGGCACATCACATCACAAGGAATGACGGCTCTTTAAATAAATTATAAAAATTATGTCAATGTGCAGTAAAATTTAATGCCATTTTGTAAGTGATATTAATGTTTTAGTTTTCAGTATAATTATATGGTATGTCTAAAGGAAGTTTAATACATTGATCATGTGCAGCAGACACGACGCGACCAATGTCTTACCTGAGTCCTTCCCACTGCCACCACAGACAAATGGCATCTTTATGCTAGTCAAACGAATGAATAGAAAAGTCAGTTAGTACACTGGCATTATACAAATTATGTTTAAACTTGTAGAAAAACATATATTCATTTGCATTCCAAAGAGATATAAAGCACACAGTTGGAACATAACCATATGGCACTTACATTGACTTTTCTAATCACTCATTGCATTTGTCAAGGGCGGGACACCTTCGAGTATAAGTGCCACAATGTGACGATAACTAAAATGGCTACAACCACAATATTAATGATTAAAATATCTTACACATATTTTGCACCGTCACTGCTTTCATATAAAATCACACAATTCTTGGCCTAAACAACTAATCTAACGTTTTGTATTTTAAAAGTCTTCAATCGTAAAATCTAAGATTTTATAACATGTCACAGAGCAACATAAAGCTCAAACTACAATTAGATATTTATTATTCATTTTGTTGGTCAGGGAATGAATTGTGTAACATAGCACTATGTGATAGTTGCCAATACTTGGTTATAAATGAGTCTGCCTCCAACATCTAATAATGAAGTAGGTACATAATGAAAGTGAGTGGATACATGATATGTGATTTTTTGCATCTAAGTTGCATGGCTAAAGCCAACATGACACTTGAAAATTCAAGTTACATCTCTTCATTACAAATATATCGTCATAATTGTATATAATATTTATCTCTACATTGAATATTATTATAATTCTATAAATTTCAGGTAGTATCACTAATTAATCACACGAAAAATTCAACAAATATCGCGAATATGAGTTTACAGGAGACAAGCTCACTTATACACTCAGTTTTCGGGTGACAGTTTGTAACATTGTCTTCAATAAGATGTAATATTTATCTGTCTTCAGATGTCTCCAGGAACTGAGCGTAAACATCTCTAGTACACTCGCCCTTTTCGTTAAACTTGTACTTGTAATAAGATCCATCAGCACAGATAACTGAAATATAAAAAAGATTAGATATTGTTTATCATATTTGCTGTTAAAATACTTTAATAATATGAAAAATCATAATAGATACCCACCAATGATGGAACTTTTGTCAACTCCAAAGGCACAGATACACGGAGGTCCATTTGGGATGGTGAATTTACAAAAACTCCAATTGCTTGAAAAATATTTTGGTAAAAAGTTTACTGTCGCCAAACTGGACTGCTTATTGAGCTTTTCATCTTCCAAGCTGAACACATGGACTGTGCCATGGTCTGATGTAACACATAAGTTGGTGCTTGAGTGATTAAAGTTTATGCAGTAAATTGTAGCCTGAAAATAAAATTATCGTTTTACGAAAGTTATCCTTCTACATATGAGAAGAAATCTAAAATGAATATCTACAGTTTTATTAATATTATCTTCATCATGCACCATTAACAAATAGTCATTGTGCATTCAACTGACAAGTTAAACAAATAATGTGTCACTTATCACTGTATACTATAAAAATCTCAACACTCATACCTACCTAACACAACATGAGATGAAAATGTACAAGACAAGTTCTGATGAATTTCGACTTACCTGGTGTGCGCCTCTCCTCAGCTCGGCAAGCTTCTGTCCAGTGCCTGTGTCAAAAACTCTGATGAGTGTGCCTTTAGTAGAAGCAGTAGCCAGCCGGGTGCCACCCACATTGAGGGCTAGGCAACTGAGTGGTGCCTCATGTGCAGCTATCAAGTGACCTTCTGGGGCAGCACTGGCACCTGCATGTGTGGTTAATTCCACCAACTGCACAGATAACAATTTTAAACAATATTTCCTCATTCACATTATAAAAATAGATTTATTATAGAACAGTAATTAGACCAAATTATGCATTCAAATATTGCCATAATATGAATATGAATTCAATATTACAGTTGAACATTGAATGGATTGAAGTAAAATAAGGAAAATAAATATTCATTAGGTTCAACCTTATAATCATGTTGTATTTAAGTTAGTCTATTGCCCTCTCAAGGCTAAGTAGTTTTAAGACATAAATATACAAAGATACAGGTTTTTATGAATATAAAAAAGACCATCTATACATTTATTAACATTTTAAATAATAGTAATTAAGATAAATAATGTGTTAATGCAGTATTTATATTATTTACCTGAACATGTCCTGTTTTGCGGCTGGGGTAGGCAAGTAGTGCATTATTACTGTTGGGGCAGACAACACACAGTCCTCTAGTGTTTTGGCATGTCTCAAACACATGCAGCATCTGTGGCTGAGCCGTGAATGTGTAAACTTTTATCAAGTTTTCTACAAAAAAGGATTAAAATAGTACCATTAAAAATTGGCCAGAAATTATGGTGAATCCAAATTTTTTTGCACTTGCAAATAGTTTCTTCAAGACGGTAAAGGTATTAGCTACTGATTTCATTTGTAAGTTTATATTCAGATTGTTTTTCTTAAAAAGGACCAAAATAAGTCAATTTACAAATAATATTACTCAATATTTAATAGAACAAACAACTCATTAATAAAATATGATATGACATAATGGTTAAAGCTTAAACATCTGATAAGTAGATAAAACTAATTAGACCAATAATAAAAATGAAAGTTACCCAATACAACAACAATGCGGTCTCTTCGCAGCTTCACAGCTTTCACAGGGCTATTGAAATCGAGTGATATTGCAGAATCTTTTTTCAAATCATCCCATATTATGACTCTGTTCGGAGGATACACGGGGGTTTTACCACCTCCTACCAAAGCCATGTAATTGCATCTAAATAGCATCTCGACGTATGAAAGACCACCTTCAGCGAAATTTTGTCGCTCTTTTTCCTTAAGTGGGTCGCTATTGAACACCCGAAATCCATTCTCCGTTCCGCAAGCAAAACAACCTGAAGATTGCAAAACAAAAATGTAAACCGATTTGTAAATGAAGCGCACGCGAATGAACAACAACTAGATCAACTCCATTACCTTGATCTTGATTAAATCCCACGTATAGAAGCCCGTTCCCGAATGTATTATCCTCAGATAAATTCATTGTGCAGCCTTATCGCGGAATATTTGGATAAAAATATAGTAGCAAAACAATAAAATTATCTCCCAATATGCAACACACAACTTTGCGGCGATTTGACAACAAATTTTGTAACAGAAGTGCCAACCTACAAATATGTGAACCAATGACATTCAGCTGCCTCCTGTCAAATGTCTCAAATATTTTTAATTTTACTTTAGTGAAATCGTGACAAAGGACACTGATTATAAATCCTGTTAGAAACTTAAGGATGAACGGTTTACACAATGGGTTATCTATTAGGTCCATCTAATTCTATTCTACAATGCTGTGACTGATATTTTAAAAATCAATAGTTATTTAACTTTTAAATCGAACCTAAATCCCCTCGTTTGGCTGTCGCATTTTCGACCATCCATCCAACAATGCAATCATACAAAATAAACGAGTTTTAGCCATAATTTCAAATCTGTTATCTGCCTGCTTATCATGCCTTTTATATTTCAGTATTCGTTTTCTACAGCCTTTTCCTGAATTTATCGTTCTTCTTGCTGCTCAAAGATTTAATTTTAGAGTTCTACTTTGTATTCGTTGTAGTATTTTTTTTATTTATTTTCATAATTGAATATACATGTTGAATACTAAAATAATAATAAGAACTAAGATTGAATATTTACAACTGTGTATCAGATAAATCAATATACTGTTCATCAGACTAGGTGCCCATTTCCTACAATGTAAACATTTCAAATTACCTGATAATACAAAATACTGGAATGCACAAATGGATTGAATTCAATTAAGTTTGTTGAAGCCGAATAACATTTAGGTATTTAAGAGCTTATCGGAAGCATGTCATCACTAAGGTATTCCAAGGTATAATACATACATAAATTATAAAATAAAACAAGTACAATTTATAACTATAGTACTTTAATTATATAAAATTTACATTATAAGCTAACAACATACTTCTTATGCCTTAACTCAATTTATTTTATAGGCTTTATACACACAATAAAATATAAAGCAGTAATTGATATAATACACTTATTACGATATTTTAGTAATGTAAATATATTATGAACTAGCAACTTGTTTTAAGGGACCTTCAAGATATTGTGCTATAGCATTTATCTTTTCCTTTAGAATACCAAAGCCTACAGTTTCTTTTGCATAAAGGCACAATAGCAAATTGGCAACTTGTGTGATGGCTATTTTTCCATTTAAGCAGTCAACCAATATCAGATGTAGTTTATCCTCTTTGAAAACATTCCTTCCGTGTTTTTCGTACGCCGACCATACATTGCTCGCAATCGCTGCTGTAACCCTTGCATCTTTGTCATTATAACCAGAGTAAGCCAAAAGGGCTCCTTGATGATTCAAGAGCCTGAAATATAAACGCTTAATGTAAATTATATCCATTCGAAGTCAATTTAGAGCATTTACAATTACTATGACTGTGTGACACCCACAATGTGTTTTCCACTCCTCCTGTATTTGCCTGGCTAAGAACTTGTGTCAACGCTTTAGGTTTTAGCATTGTTATGATTTTAACAATAATATTTTACACAACAGACAAAGTTCTCTAGATTTTAATGCAGTTCAAATCAAACAATAGATGATAGTAAATAAAATGTTTTCACTTTTTATCTGACGTCTGTCACTTTTGCGTGACGTTCATTTCGAAACTGACATAAAATTCATGCCTTTTTTAAAATTGAACTTTTATCTTTTAGGAACAAGTGAGGAATACAGTGCTTGATCTTTTTCAACGCCCATGGGTTTTTTAAGGGGGGAAAATCATCAAATTGCTGCTCCCGTCTGGGTGAAGTGGAAGGGAGTGTCAGACTTACTGACTAAAAACCACCCCGTTCCTTCTCCTGCACGTCGAGCCGGAGCCCCGGTAACCTGTTAGGTTCTCCGTGACTCCGAATCGGTATCTGTGGTGGTCTGATGGCTCTTTGAGGCGCGCGCGTAATGCGACGCGCCGTACGCTCGGGTCTGTTTCTGGTCGGACGGGGAGCTACCCATGCTCGCCGTCCGCAGGCCCGCGCTTACGGTGGCCGGAGATCGTCCCGCGATCCCTGACGCCCGATGTGTCCTTCGCGATGGCTGGGTTACGAGGAGGCAGCGCTTCGCTGCCTTACGCGTCCCGTCTCCTCCTTAGCTAGCATAACTGCTTCGCAAAAGGAGGAGACGGCATCCTAATCCTCCTCGCTCCGCATCATGACCTGCACTAGGCCCGGACGCGAGAGTTCGCCATCGCCGATGAGTGCACGGCGGTGCTTAGCCCACGCAGGACATTCTCCCACTGTGTTCCACCGTGTCCTCAGGGTGGCCCTCGCAGTGATGGCGCCCGGGCGTTTCCTCCCGCCACATCAGACACAGATACGTCCCGAAACTTCCATGTCCGGTGAGGACCTGCGTCAGGTGGTAGGTGAGGACGCCGTAGTGTCTCTCAAGCCACTCCTCAAAGAGGGGACTTACCGCTGCAATGGCAGCGAGCCCAGCCCTCGGTTACGACAGTCGTTGCTGCCATTCCACCATGAGATCGAGCCGGAGCTCCTCCCGCCACGCACTTATCTGGCGCGGCAACGGAGTTTCGCCCTGGCGACGTGCCTTCGCGCGCATGCGATACACGCGGAGGCACGCCTCCAGATCCCACGGCGGTAATCCGGCAAGGAGGTTCGCCGCCTTCCCGGACATCGTGCGGTATCCGCGGATCATTCGAATCGCCATGACCCTCTGTGACATGAGCAGCGCCCGAGCGGGCCGCCGCATCAGGTTCGGCGCCCATACAGGGGCGCCGTAGAGGGCCATAACGTCCATAGGTAAGGGTGAATAAAACGTCTATATGTATGTACATGATACTTAAAATCAGAAAAGAACTCTAGTTGCAACAAAGTAACACCATAATGTTTTGTTAATGCTGAATGCAAATATCTTCTTAAAGATCTTTTTAAATTATTGTTTATTTAAATTAGAAATTAAAAATAAATTATTATATTTAAATTATAAATTAAAAAAATCTTCTTAAAGATCGGAATTACTTAGTATTTGGGTGTATCTTTCAATAGATAATAATTAACTAACACATCAACATAAAGAATTTTATTTTTACAATACACATTGTAGATTGGTACAATTTTATCAACGCATTTTCTTTTGTTTGATCAAATAATTTCTGAATGCAATTTGCTTATCTTTAAAAGATCTTTTTATCTTTCCCTTAGCTTTATGTTTTACCATTTGGTAGTTTTTGGTCTTCCTCTTTTCCCTGTTTGTTTTAGAGCAGTGGATATTCTTCCTTCTATCTTTATATCCATATTTTTCGCGTTCTTCACGACCCTTATGAACACTATCTAACCTTGCATCTTTATCGTGTTTCCTTTTTTTGTGAATGTTCTCAATAGCAGACAGTTGTACAAGTTCTCCAGATTCATTTTCTTCTTCTATTACAGCACTCTTACGTTTAGTGCCTGTTACAGCTTTTTTGAGTTGTGCTGCTTCAATTCGTTTGAAGTCTTCATCAGTAAAAATAGTTTCCATTGCTATTTCTCTGGCACTTTGTACCTTTTCTTCTTTACTTTTTTTGTCAAGTGATTTGCGTTTAGCTTTTAAGATCTTCCTGTCTGTTGTTTTGTTAGAAACTATTTCATTGTCTAATTTATTATTCTTTTCTTGACCATCTTCAGCATTTTCGTCTTCTTCTTCTTCTTCGCCTTCATTCTCTAAATCCTCTTCCTCACTTTCTACTTCTTCATCACTACCCTCTTCCTCATTGTCACTTTCATCACTGTCAGATATATTGATTTCAGAATCAGAGGATGCCACATCTACCCACTCTTCACTATCTGAATCGTCTTTCTTTTTATTAGACTTTTTATTGTTCTTTTTATCTGAATCCTTGATTTCTTCTTTCTCCAATAGTACTTCTGACCCAGGTATATAATCCTTAATTTCCATTTCACCATACTTCTTGTTCTTCAATTCTATAGAAGCCTCGGATGGCCTTCCTCTATCTTTTTTGTGTAACATATCAGGCATCGACTGTCTGTATAGCTGGATCAATGATCTTGCAGCCATCATCACAGATTTTTCTTTGTAAGATTTGTACTGAACTAAATCTCTGAGTAAATCTTCACCAATAGCCAGAGGACATCTGGCACATATTTCTCTTACAGCATTTAATCCAACTGCCATGACATCAGTGGAATTCCTTTCAGTAATGAAATTATTCGCTATTGCTTTCATCACAGGTTCTAGTACTTCTGGTGGTATTAGTTCATGGGATGCTTGAGCTGCAAATAATAGTATCCGAGTGACTTCTCTTTGATGAGGTAAAAGTAATCTTGCAATAAATGGATAGTAGTTAAACAAGAACAAGTCATGTAAACCAATCAATCTTGAAATAACATCCAACAACATAAGTTTAACTTCAAATCTATCATTAGAAGATTCTAACTTCTTAAACAACTTCTCAGCAAATCCCTGAGGATTATTGATTAAATGTAAAGCAGAGAAGTTAAATACGGGAGCTTTTTGTTTCCTTTTCTTTATTTTCTTGGCCATTTTCTTAACTTTCTCCACCATTTTCTCTCTTTTCCTTGTCTTTTTATTGAATTTATTAGAAATCATAGTATCTCTAGGATCTATTTCTTCTTCACTATCAGAGTTTTCTTCTTTTTCCTCTTCATCTCTGCCCAAAAAGAATTTTAGTGATGCAACCATAACTTTTGTAATCTTTGAGAAGCAACCAATGTCAGCAATTATATTCACAGTTTTCTGATCATTCCATATATTTTTATGATACAATTCAATTAAAATATCAAGTGACAATTTTGCTGCCTTTGGGTTAGAATCTTGCAACATTGAAAACATAAAGTTTTGCAATGTTGAATTAAATTTCATATCTTTGTGTTTCATATTCATATTTTTGATGTCTGTAATAATGTGTGTCTTCAAGAATTCTCTCAAATGTTTGTCTTGGCATTTCAAGAGGAGGAAAAACAATTCCAGCAGGTCAAAGGCTGTGATAAAATTCTTGTTTCTCAGAAGAATAAGACATTTACACAAAGACAAGCGCATGTCATTGTGAAGAACTGTATTGTGTGTCTTCAAGATATCTACTATTTTCTGAGGAAATAACTTCATCTCTTCAAGATAGCACTGGGCTACTTGTGCCAAGAACATGGCCTGTTCATCTAGCTTTTTGTTGTACTGGGTAGGATTCAAATTGAAAATTTCCAATGTAGTTTCAAAATGAGCAAGTTGTTGATGAAACTCTTCCTTATATGAATCGGGATCCCTCTTGATCAGGTTTTGTAACTGCGTCAGATTATTAGGCAACTGATTATTGTGTCGCACCATTTTGAATGTTTATATTAACACTGGTTCACAAACGCACACTTTAATTAATGAACGTAGAATTAAATTGTCATTTCACAATATTACAATTTTAACCTCTGTTTACAGAACCATGCACTTGTGCACTTGACGTAGGAAAATAACAGGGCCGTCACACTTAGAGCCATTGACAGCTTAAAAAATCGGACCGTCAACTACATCTAGTTTTCGAACCTGAAATTAAATGTTGTCAAAACTAATATTTTCAGTGGCCACACAGTTCCAAGCAAGGTTGCAACATTATTTTAAAATTTAGGCTTAAAATAATATTTTTTGGAAATAGTAAAATAACATTATACACATTTATTTAATACTATATTGCAATTTTTACAAAATAATTCCTTAAACTTAGATCAAATGACAGTTATGCTGGCATAATCGATCAAAGATGACAGCCTCTTTACTAATAATAGAGATTAAAAAGATATTAAGAGATGGATGCCAAACTAAACTCTATGAAGTGACTGCGTCAGGTTTCTGCATCCAAAAGCATTAACCTAAGAGCCTGTGAACCTCAGGTCTAGGCCACCGTTTTTATTATATAAAAACTAATATTATATGAAAATACTCAATTTTCATAGAAAATCTATAAAATAGGTTGCACGTATTCTTTCTGTCTCTCTATCACACACACACATTCACACACATACTTAATCTTTCTCGATAAATGCATTAACTCTATTTCGTTCAGTCATCATCTCTGATTTACAATTTGAGAGCACCATCATTTTCACCACCCTCGAGAACCATGAAAACGACACCTATAACGATAAATTGAAAATATCGTGCAGCCGCCATCTTGGATTTGCATTTTGACAGCACCATCGGTTTTACCACCCTCGAAAACCATGAAAACGACACCCATGACGATAAATTCAAAATTTTGTGCAGACGCCATCTTTGATTTACATTTTGACAACACCATCGGCTTTATCGCCCTCGAAAACCATGAAAACGACACCCATGACGATAAATTGAAAATTTCGTACAGCCGCCATTGGATTTGCATTTTGACAGCACCATCGGCTTTATCACCCTCTAAAACCATGAGAACGACACCCATGACGATACATTCAAATTTTGTGCAGACGCCATCTTGGATTTGCATTTTGACAGCACCATCGGCTTTATCACCCTCGAAAACCATGGGAACGACACCCATGACGATACATTCAAAATTTTGTGCAGACGCCATCTTGGATTTACATTTTGACAAACACCATCGGTTTATCACCCTCGAAAACCATGACAACGACACCCATGACGTATATTCAAAATTTTGTGCAGACGCCATCTTTGATTTACATTTTGACGACACCATCGGTTTTATCACCCTCGAAAACATGAAAAGGACACCCATGACGATAAATTGAAAAAATTTTGTGCGCACGCCATCTTGGATTTACAATTTGACAGGACCATCGGCTTTATCACCCTCGAAAACCATGAAAACGACACCCATGACGATAAATTCAAAATTTTGTGCAGACGTCAGCCCTGTTCATTTCCATTTGCTGATTTACTTTATCCAAGTTTTCGAAGATATTATTCATAATAGCTAGTCATTACGAATAATATCAAATTAATCACTTTGGCTGTAACATATGTATATACATTTAGGTCAAACTGATACTCCTTTTTTAAAGTCGGTTAAAAAAGAATCATCAAAATACGTTAAAAAGCGACGAAGTCATCCCTGAAGGAACATAAAAAAATCTTATAGGTATATAACTTTTCCTTTTTTTAAGTCCGTTATAAATAACAAAGGTCTGGGGTTCATAGGCTCTTGTACTATATGGATTGTCAAATTATTAATTTTTACGGCAACGCTGGGGCTAAAAAAATATTAAAACATTACAAAAATAATTTTCCAAATTATTTAGATAATAAATAACTATTAAAATAATATTGTTTAATTATTAGATATATTGATATTAAATACTTTTTTATATTATCTCCTTATTTCTATAAAATAGTATGCATGTAGTTTGTACTATTTTAATACTGGCATATAATATGTATACTTTTTGCTTGATAAAGAAAAGAAACAAAAACAAAAATTTGCAATGTCAAAATTGTAAAAAATTTGCCAAAAATATTTTAAATTATTTAATAATTTGTGATGGGATTTTGTGATTGTTTTTCTAAAAAAGGAAGTTCTGCGATGCGTGTTGTGTTTTCTATAAAGGACCTTTTGTATACATGTGTATCACAAATCACAAAAGTACATTGTGTTTGTTTGTCTATTCATTGGACTTGATTTTACAAAGGAACGCTTTAATTTGCGTATATATCTTATTTATAATAAAGAACATCAATACGAAGAATACAATCATGTTGCTGAAGGTAAAACCTACAACAAGTTTATGATTTTTGCTATTGAACCTATTTATACATTTTATTTGATTCATTGAGATACCAAACTATGTAGTTTTTATAAATGTCTACTTTTTCTTTTGTATATTTGTTACAGTGATATTTGGAATTGCTATTGCATCGATATTACTTCAGCATCATCATTGCAGAATATCAATAGTGCAATTTTTTATCGGCAGTTACGAGTCTTACGATGTCCGGATAAAGTGCCGATCTATACCAGCAGTGCTTGAAACCTATTTTAGAGATGGTAAATACTATATTATTCTTGTAACATCAGTAATATCACGTAAGGTACACCTACCTTAGATAAATAAAAGAAAACAAATAAATAAAATACATATTTCTGCATGTAAAAATAATCTTTGTTTTTTTTTCAGGTACTATTTGTAATTATTCTAACATTCAGACGTATATTGTTGTCTCAAGAAACAAGAAACCCATAGATCGCTGCAAATATTAAAGCAGTATTATTTTTGTAAAACTATTTTTATCTTTGTATTAACGTATATATCATAATTAGAACAACATTTTAAGTACCTACGCACAACAAAGTAATATTAAATTATAAATAAACTAAAATAGGTACATATTCACACCTTAAAAAAAAATGTTACCTTAGGGCATCAAAAAATTCTTTTTCATCGCTATCGTGGAGTAGGGTGCCCAAAAGACTGGCAGCATTATTCTAGGTTTTACTTATTTGTATTCATATATGTAGAGGTCTCTCCTTCTTGGGCTTGACCTGGTGAAAATGGGCACCGCTTCCCGCAACCCGCAGGAAAAACGATGCTCATAGCCCCTTCTAAATTTGACTTATAAATCTCCTTCTTTCTCTTCTGCTGACTACTTGACTACTAACTGGGTGTAGTTTCGTGTGCCAGATGTGGATTGTGAGCTTCATGTGATGGTTGACTGAGTGGTATGTGGTGTTTGCGCTTGAGATGGTTGTAATTGATCGGAATCTTGAATGTATGTGACGAAAACTGTGTCTCCTAGTACTTTGCTAAGAATGATTATTGTTTGAATGGTGGCTAATGTCTATTTATGTTTCTAGTTTGTCTGTGTATCTGCTGAGGCTTTTGGCTAGTACCTACTCCTGTGGCTCCAATTACTATAGAATTAACATGCGTTTCAATATTTCAAGGCGTCTAGCCTTGAGTTGTGTCTTTAAAAAGTGGTATTTACTGAATTTCTTTTGCTCCTATGTTGTAGTTACATATGGTGCAGTTATGTCAAAGAGGTATGTGGTGTTGGATGTTTTGTTTGTGTATATTATGTCCGGTCTATTGTGGGCAACTGTGAAGTCTGTCTGAATTGGGATTTCCCACATTATTTTGCCTGTTTCATTTTCATTTGTATTTATAATAATAATATTACTTTGTTTCATTATAATGTTATAAAAATATTATATTTGAGGATAGGAAAAATCTGTAGTTGTTTAGTAAAAATGACTGTAATATAACTAGATATAGGAAACGACTAAGTCAGGCATTATTAGCAACTAGCAAAAAAAGTACTAAAAAACTAAGACTGACTGAGAGGCAGACTGAGATTTATTTTTAAGCACTATATTTTTCGACATTATAATAATAAGTGCGACTGCCGGGCAAGGGGTCTCGGGTTCGATACCCGGGTCGGGCAAAGTATTACTGGGTTTTAAAAAAATCTCAGTAGTAGTAGAGTAGTCTGGAAATGTGCCCGGTATATGGCAATAGGCTCACCCCCTATTACATGGGACTTATAACATAAATAGTGAAAAGTGGGTGTTACATTGTACAGTGGCATTGAGTGCCGAAATGTGCACCTCTGCCTACCCCTTCGGGGATAAAAAGGCGTGATGTTATGTATGTTATGTAAATTGTATAATAATTTTGTGTTTTTGTAAATACTGTAAGCGATTCAAATCGATGGTAAAATGTACTACATTTGTGTAGGTATTACGGTTAATTTATATCATTAGATTGTTAACTACTGTTAGGTACTGTGTAAACAACGGTGAACAGTAAATATTTTTAATTTTAGTTCTTTTTGGGATCAATAATTAAAAAAATAACTAATTCAAATAAATTTTGAACGACATATTTATATCTGAAATTTGTAAACATAAAATTAAAAAGAACTAAAATTTGAATTATACTTTGAACAAATCTGTCCTCTGATATTTCCCTACTAGCTGATAATTTTTAAATGTTAATTTGTATTTACTGTAAAATAAATGTAATATTGTAATTAATAACTTCTTTGATTTTGCAGCTACCAGACATAGCTAATTCCAATACTACCTTCAATGTACCAACCTGCAAGGTGCATTGTTGGTAGTATTGGCATTAGCTATACTTAGGATTATCTGTAGACATAACTAAAAAAAAAAAATATACTAGGATTCAATTTTCAGATGGCGCTTCAAATTGATTGGCATAAATTTTGACGAGTGGTAACTCTTTACCCCTATACTTATTTTACTCTTTGGAAAATAACCTCAAAAAGAAAACAATAAACAAATCAGCCACATGATTTTAGTTTTTTAAAGTGGATACGAGGCTTTTGGTACTTAGGCGATTAAGATTTGGAGAGTTTGCGACTGGGCTAACGGCAATTTCATACTACTTAATAAAAAAATCGAAAGATTAATAGAACAAAGTAATAAAAATATTACATATTCGAATAACGAATCACAAATTGTAGTAGAAGAGCAAACTTGAGTATTATTATAATTTTTTATTGGTTACTCGACTAACAAAACAATCTGTTAATCGATAAAGAATTTAAAAAAAGGTTTTTAGTGCATGGATGGTGCTCTGGTACAAATGAATATTAGCACTGCAGTTGTATTAATTAGCTAAAATATCTTTGAAGAAAACTGAAAAATCTATTCTCATAGACCAAAAATATTGTAACAGAATTCTTATTGGAAATAACTGACTAATAGGAATCATTACTTTTTCTTCTTCATGAGACTTCATGTTTGTAGGTCTTGCCACACAAATAATTGTTTTAATTAAAAAGTTGTGTCAAATGTGTCATGTCAATCAGCCACGTCATTTTTGCTTGAATGATAGAGTGTACGCGGCGTAATTGAGATAAGCATTTCTGTAAAAAATGAATATTTTCCGTTTACTTGGTGATTTATCCCATCTTCTAGCTATCATAATATTACTACTTAAAATATGGAAAACCAGATCATGTGCGGGTAAGTTACATAGGCTGTGAAATGATTCGTTCGACCGGCACATTTAGTATGTATTTTCCAATCAAAACTCCTCCAATTTGGTATTCGTTTTCAGGCATTTCAGGAAAGTCGCAGATACTTTTCTCTGTTGTTTACACGGCGCGTTACTTGGATCTGCTTACCAATTACATCTCTGCATATAATACGTTTATGAAGATGGTGTTCATTATGGCCTCATACGCGACTGTTTACCTGATGTATGTCAAGTTCAAAGCGACATATGACCACAACCACGACACTTTTAGGATCGAGTTCTTACTGATACCTACTTTGGTGCTGGCTTTGTTGATAAACCATGAATTCACAGTAATGGAGGTTAGTATGATTTATGTACCTATGCAGTCATACTACATTGTACAATTTATTATGTAGATGTCAAGTTGTAAATATAGTTGAGTGTAGAGTGTGATTGTCATCTAACAGATTTAAATATAGGTAGTGAAGTATTATCAGTATAGATGTTATCAAATTGTTCATTATGACAAGTTGTTTATCCTTCATTACAGGTACTATGGACGTTCTCTATTTACTTGGAGTCTGTAGCTATTTTACCACAATTGTTCCTTGTGTCGAAGACTGGAGAGGCTGAAAGTATTACATCCCACTACCTATTTGCTCTTGGATCATACAGAGCTCTCTACCTCTTGAACTGGGTTAGTATAAAATTAAATATAAGCAACACTTAACATTCAACTGATAAGAACTTGAAGCTTTAATTTATTTCTTGAAGTTTGTTAATGGTTTTGTAATGTTCAAATTAAAACTTCTTCGTCACTTATTGTGGTAACATTACCTATGCTAAAAAAGTATCAAAGAAACTTCATTAAATAGTATAACATTTTGTAAACAATAATATTTTCTAATTAGCCATTTCTCTTATTGGATTTAATTTTATAGAAACTTTTTTCAAACCATTCATTTTATGGTAATAAATTAATTTAAAATTTCAGGTGTACCGCTATGTTGTGGAGGATCACTACGAGCTGATTGCAATCATCTCTGGAGTTGTGCAAACTGTGCTGTACTGTGATTTCTTCTATCTGTACATTACAAAAGGTAACAAACTGCACATTTCTTTGTACTGCTTCCTCCAAATTCAATCATAAGCTTAACATTCACACACTATTTCTTTGACTTCATTATGATGCCTTACAAGAGGTGTATTATATGATTTATTATCCAATTAGTTTCCTGAAAAACATGCATAACAAATATTTTTCCTCTTTTTTTCTAGTATTGAAAGGAAAGAAACTGCAGTTGCCGGCCTAAGCCTGAAAGCAAAAGGATTGCATTAAATCAATCTGACAGTTACGTCTGTGAATATATCTGTGTGAGCCAATAAATTACCTAAGATCTAGTTGTACAAACATTACCGGTATTGTACTGTTGTGAAAATGTTGATTTACTAATGGCAATTATGTGTGATTGTGTATCTTCATTAACTTGTACAGCCACAAGCAATAATAAATGGTATTTTGCATTAAAACCAGTCTTAATCATGTCTACTTAGTGCTATCACCAACACAGTACTTTATTGGCTACTGTACATAATTTAACATTTTCTACAACTATTCACTACCTTGTATTAATTAAAATGAATTCATCACACCAATAGATTGTAATTATATGCAATCATAAAAGAGCAATAATATTCTTTGGCTTCCATTTTACTTAATAAAATTATGTGAATGTGGTCCCCCTGATTTATAATTACATCTTAAAACCTAGGCTAAAATTCTAATATGCATTCCTGTAACAAAAGTGGTATATCTGACAACTAATTTAAGAATTTGGAGATAAACTAAATTAAGTAATTACATGACTAGAGGCTTTAATTTTCTCATTTGTATTGTTTCAATCATTGCTTTAATTCAGGTTTCTCATAAATTAGGATGAAATATAAAAACAAGTAAAATGTATGTCTGTGCTGTTAATGTTAGAGTACTACTGGATAGTTTGAGGAATTAAAAGTTGTATGATAGGTATATTTAAATAGATACATTAATATATTGGCATAAACCACTTTTTATTGTTCGTGACTGTACTTAATTTGAACTGCAGTTAACCTATCTAGTTATTGACAATATTTTCAGTGCAATTTAATTTTTAATAGCCACCTATTGTGACGCAAATTGTTAAATACCTTTTTAACAATGTATTGTCAAGGATATGATTTTGTATCTTACCCTTAGATTATATGAACTTTGATTATAATATTGTATTTGTCATTTCTTCCCATTAGGTAAGATTTTCGACATTTTGAATACTAGGCAATGCTTAATTGATAAGGTTTTAAAATAACTTCTATAGTTCGTATTTGCCAATAGTTTTATACATTTTATGGTGTATGTATCTGTCCCACACTATCTCAAATTATTTTGATGAGTTAACTGAAACCAAAATTAGTATTACATGGACTTGTGTGCAATTTGTCATGTCAAAGTATTCTATGCATGACATTTCAATGTATGGGATGTCAATTATACCATGTATTAAACACTCCTTCCATACATTGTCACACAACTTATTAAATAAATATGTATTTAAGTGTACAATATTGTTTATTTTACTCCATTTGGTTATGTGAACAAGAAAGAAGGCATGCATGCCATATGCCACTTAATATATTTTTCATTGTTACTTACATTATATCTTATTATTTTTTATAAATTGTATTATAATTTTCTTCTATTTTCATTTGAATTATAACTGTCAAATTAAAGATCTGCATTTCATATGCGACTTTAATCTACTTCTTATGTAGTTCTATTTAAAATTACTTAATATTGTAGCTCTACTTCCTATAAAATCATTCGATATTATTCTACACACTAAATGATTAGTGTTCACATTCAGTCATTTAAACGTAACTAAATTCAATACAGATTTAGATCAAACATTGCGTTTTTATACAGTTTAGTCTTAAGACCCTATTGTAATGTCTTGATATATAAGAATTATGAATAAATGAAATTTGGAAGTGAAGAGATGTTTTTAATCTCTTGTAGAATGGTCAATCATATTTAGATTTTTCTTGAGGATGTGAATCTTGTATGACAGTTATGGTTTATACATTTCGACTGGTGGCTGCATCATGTATTTAAGTACGAAGGAAAGAAGTGAAGAAAAATTCCTCCTTAGGCCCATAACTGAGCATTGAACTAAGTATGCCAAAATATGTACCTGACAACCATATTCAAACTATCTGTTTTAAAAAATAAATACCTAGTTTTCTTAACTAAATACTTATCGAGTAGCATGACTCAATAAAAGGTTGTTCAAAGTCAAACTAACTACCTACACACTACGAAAGTTTACAACTACTGAAGTAACGAATCATAATTATAGGTACTGTGCCACGGTCACTTTACGTCCGTGCCTATTATAACGGCTCTACCTACATGCACGACGTCACCAAAATCCCTGAACGGTTGGTTGTTAAATTATAGATGTACACCTCTGTACGTCTACAATTTAACTTAAGTATCTACTGTTAGAACTGAGATTTCTGCCATACACAAAACACAATTCCAGATTTAGAGTAAACTCCAAAATCCATTTGCTCGCCACAACACTCGAGACTACTTGCTCGACAGTTGCATTTGTGAGCATATTAGACCAATGAGGCACTGATGTTTTCGAATTTGTTATCGTCAAACGGAAGGTCATTGAACCAAAATTAAGATTACATAAACAGGCACACAGCTCTAAATATATTCAGTTATTCGGCTATATATGCATGTATCTTTTTAAAACAGAAACTTTTTAAAACTGGTTAAGAGATAAAGAAGCGTTCCTGCAAATAAATTAGGTGTCAATTTTTTTTAAAGGGGGAAATTCATCGAATCACTGCTCCCGCCTGGGTGAGGCGGGAGGGTGTGTCAGACTCTTACTCACTAAAAACCACCCCGTTCCTTCTCCTGCACTTCTAGCCGGAGCCCCGGTAACCCTATTACCGGTGATATTTAGATGTCTTTAAACCTATTTCAGTTTCCCACAATTTGTGACACTTGGCTTTTTTCTATACCTACACAGTCATAGAAATTCAAAGAGGTAGGTAGGTACATAAAGCACCCTAAAATCCGGGGTGATTTAGGTTGATTAGGGCCTGGATCACACAAAGTATTGTTCCATGAGGAAATTCAACCTGCAACACGTTGCGCAGCGGCCGCTCGCCCAATTTCAGCACCAACAAGTGCCATCTAGTACCTATCAAAAATAAATTCGAGTTACAGCGTATTCCTTTTAGCCACCAAGGCTAAAAGCGTGCCAACACATGAATTACACGTTGTGTACCCACCCCTCTTCTCAGTGAAAATTATTTCTAAGATACGAACTAATTTATTTGATTAGGTAGTTCGTAGATAATTTCTTGTAAAAGTATGATTAGACTAGGCTTAGTAGTACCTATTAGTAGGTACTACTGATACGATTGATTAAATTTCATGGTGTATGTTAGGTTTTCATAGTGTACCTATGTTAGGTAGGTATCCATATACTATTTCTCTTTATCATAATGGAAGAGAAGCATGTTAGCATAACGATTGTTTTATGCGATTATTAAGTAAGCCGTAAATAATGCAATCAACAGTGGACTGTATAAAAGAAAAATATTTACATAAAGTAGGGTAAACTGCACAGCCTCATAGGCCAATAAAAAATATATAGCAGTAGTATAATAGTAAAATGAGTAAAAAGAACATGGTCGGGTTTCGGAATCAATCTTCGAAAAGAAACAACATTTGGTTTTAAAAAGTTTATTCCTTCATACTAATTGCTCTGCATGCTATTCTATATTATTTGTCGCTGAATTTTAACGATGCATACTTGCAAAAATCTTTTAGATGCACTTGTTCCTGAAAAACAAAATAAATGAGTAATATAGAATAAGTTTGTTTATTTTATGAAGGATAGGCAGAAGTAAACTTGTCGTTATTTATCTTTGTAACTTTAACTAGTTACAGATTGTTCCCATAGTCTAATATACCTCGTATAAGTATTAGGAAAATATTGATGTATAGTAAAAAGTCCAGGACATAAGTACCGTGAGTTTTGTACTATTGCTCATTAATTTTAAAAAACCAAATTTTAATGTTTCTTCTTCCAAAATTCCTGTGTAGGTGACACCCATTTGACAATTTTCTTTGATCTGGAAATATAACATTAAACTTCATCGAAATTCTGAATAATTTATTAATTGAACTATAGTTTGTTTCCTATTGATCACCTGTAAATCCAATGGAAGTGAGTGATTAGGTAACCATGTTGAGATGTTGTTTGATAGCAGTTTATAGTGTAGAAGAGTAGCCATTTTATGCAAAGAAATATTGTCCATTTCCTCTGAAAACGAAAAAAAAAAAAAAAAATTATTTAAGTTCATTAACAAGGATAGCCAGTTATAAAATTTTAGTGTCCGACCGAAGGTGTATTTTTGGCCGAAGCCGATTAATCGGCTATCGCCACGACCTTCGGCCGAAGCCGAAGGTTTATATTTTCTCAGCACTCAGTCAATTATTTTGTTCAATATTGTCTACAAGCTACAATTAATATTAAAATTATTTCAAAACCTCAATATTGAAGGTTTATATTGACTGTCTTATAAAGAAGTTTATGATATATCAAAGAGATGGTTGGTTTAGAGATTGATAAAAGTTTGTGATTTACCTACTGGTAAAAGTAATCATTTCTTTATTATGAATAATTTCACAAATTACAATTAGTTCAATCGTTCGTTTAATCTCGGCAGTCGCTCGGACCTTCGGCGAAACCTTCGGCTTCGGCCGGGCTTTGGGCCGAAGCCGAATGTTATGCCGAAGGTGGACTTTTTGGCCGAAGGTGGCCGAAGCCGAAGCTTCGGTCGGACACTATAAAAATTTAAATAAATATTCAATTAACTAAAACTCGCGGGTTACTCACGAGAAAATACTGAGAAAAGCTGTACTGAGGCCTTAGTACGAGTTTATTTTACATTTTAAAGTAACCGAAACGAGACTGCCTTCAGCTCTCCGATTGGTTAGTTCATTGGAGCCGGCCAATCGAATACGAGCATCGAATACGTACTCGTTTCGATTACTTTAAACGTGAAACAAACTTGTACTAAAGCCTCTTTACTTCCTCATGAGCAGCGTGCGCGGTCGCGTAGCCTACTAGCCGCAACCGCAACATCTGTGGTTCGAAACTAGTAGATCTTTCCTCAGTATTTTTACGTGAGTAACCCGCAACTTTTAGTAAATTAAGTATATCACACGTTATTTATTATAAAAACAAATATTCAGTTCTTACTTTCTTTGTCCAATTTTAAAGCGATAGAAATTTTAAATGGTGCTATCTTCCTGTGGAGTCTTAAATACTCATCCTTTTGACTGTTACTCAATCCATCCAGTAGAAGTACTAGTAATGCATTTTCTAGACACAAAGTACATGATAATTGGCCATACTTGTGCTGTAAAAGAATTTTATATGAATTTGTTGTACAGAGAAAAAACTTGTATGACCATGCATGAATGTTATGCAAGTGAGAGATGTGTGCATCTAAATAAGTGGCACACTAATTTCAACCTTAAAGAATTAAACATAGGAGCGAGTTTAGGTTCGTAAATTTATTAATTAGTTGGGTGGTTGGTGTTATATTACATATAAATGTTAATAATGTTATACAAATAAATCTTACATTTGGGTGAGTTTCACAAGACAGGCTTTCCACAGTCTGAAGTCCATTTGGAAATTGTGCAACTATTTCAACATGTGCAGAATTATTTTGATAGTTGAAATCATTTACACAGAATAAACTTGGCGTTGTTGATATCTGAAAGATATGTTCGGAGAAAATTAATATTGGATCATGAACATTTTATAATCATTGCATGTTTGGGATCAAATTCAACTAACAGTACTTATATCAGTCACAAGGCATAGGCTAATGATTTCCAGATAGGCTGGACAATGTTCATACAGCAGCTCCGTGACTTTTATCAAGTTGTCTTTCTAGTTGTGAGAGGACATTTTGTACTTATAGTATTTTAACATAATTATTTTTAATATTATTTTAAACTGTCAAACACCAAGCGGTCACCGGTGACCGCGACCTATTGTTCTTTAATTGTGTCTATAAAACCGGTACTCGACGAGTTAAAGCTAGATTAACAAAAAATAATTGAAACTCACACTACTCCACCAGTACTTTCTGTATCTCTGCCATTGTATGAGGTATTGCATAGCTTCTTCCTGGGGTATAAATAAATCTAATCTCAACATAGATTTCTTCATTGGATTACCAGTATTCAAGTCCATTTCTAATACCATATCTTTAGTATAGTTTTGTATATCTTGCTTTATTACACCATACACAGATGGAACATATGCTATATTTGGACTTCGATCATTTAAAAATACTGGCATTTGATGTTTATCAGCCTTTACATGATTATATTTTAACCAGTTTGTGTGAATGTTTTTCATTAGTAGTTTGCTAGGTTTATTCAGAATAATTTTGACACTTTTATCACTTATTTGGAGGATGTTAAAGAAATGTTTCATTTGCACTAGCCTCTCTACTTCAATTTTCATTTTGTTTTAGTTTTGTGGACTCTGTCTGAACTTCAACTTCATGTAAAGGTATATTGCCTATGGGTGCAACGAAATAGTCATCTTCGGTCACTGCTGCATTTTTAAGTATTTCTTTTTGACAATTTCCTTGTGTTACTTTATCTTCCCTGAGTATTAAGGTCCTGGAAAATTATATTAGACATGTTTAATATTAATAAAAAGTGGTATTAGTAAGAATATATATTTACTTTTGTCGGTACTTACTGGTCCTCAAGAACTGAATATAAGGGTTCGACATTGTCGGTATCAATGTGCAGGATCTTGTCAGCAAAAGCAATGGAGTCTTCTAAAATATTTAGACCTTCGTCAGTGTCAAAACTCACTAAAGAAAGTCGCTCTAACAGTGCAATTGTATTTCTTTCTATTTTTACAGTAGAAGTAAATTCATTAGTCAGAGATGGGACAGGTAATACTGGTATTTTGGAATTTAAGTTCCTACAGGCAATCTGAATAAAATTCAAGGAAGTCCTGGAAGTTCTTTTAACTATATTTAATATCATACTTGTATGAGATGTTTAAAATGTTCCTATTTGTATTTTTAACCTTTTAAAAACGATATCAGATCAGAAATTAATAGATTACTTTACCAAGAAATTTTCAACAATTTCCATGTATGTCACACATTGTGTAAAAGTCAAGACAAATGTCATTAGAAAGAAAAAAAAAATAGGAAACGTCTTAAATGTCATGATCAGCTGAGGTTTTCAAACACTCACACTCTATTACCTTCCCTTACCTTTTGTAAATTATTATGTTCTATTTTATGATTGCTTCTATTAATTTTAAAACTATTGAGATATATTGAAACACTTCATTTGCCAAGAAATAAAATTTTTAAACGAATTGTTATTGTCAGTCATTGTCAATGCGCTGTCACAGAGGTCACTGTCATTTAACATTGTCAACATATTCATAACCTCAATTTAGCAGAAAAAGTAGGAAAATAAAGAATTCTATTTGGAATTTACTTATCTTTATTGATTAATTGAATATCAAACAGGTATTTGTATATTTTTATTAAAACTCTTGACCCAAGCTATTAATTAATTCTTAGTTGCTTATGAAAAAACGAAACTGAATTATTTCTGATGTAATGTAATATTTTTCTGTTTTTATTATGTTCATGATCATGTTATGAATGGAAACGTCAAGGCTTTCATAATCTTGTTCAGATTGAATTTGTGTTAACATAGAATATACAAAATTCCAAAATATGTTTTTCATAAATTATGAATACAATGTCCAATCATATTTTGGAAATGATAATAACTTCAAATTATTTTCTAGTTCTGATTATATCTAGAATATGTTTCTATTACAGGAATTATGAAAAAGTATGCTCGCAATGTCTTATATGACAAACTGCACAAAGGCGGTGTGTTAGTTTGTGTGGGCCTAACTTTGTATGGCACAGTGCTGCTAGGTGACCATTTTTATAAGTACTTCAAGTATGTACGACCACAGATACAGGCATCAAAGGAAGCTGCTGAAAAGGAACTGTTATCTGAAGGATCTTCAGAAAGACTAAATATGTGAAATACTTATATTTTCAGTCATTATGTACACTTAGAGACTAATTTAAGCTATAATTGTAATTAGTTAGTTTTGTTTTGATGTTATTTTATTAAATCAATGCCTGAGTAATGGTGTATTATATTTATAATTATATGTTATTGTCAATTTATTCCAATACCCCCTAGTAAATGTCCACTATAATAATTATGACACACATAACTATCTTTTAGCAATACAAAGGTACTTACTTACTATGAAATGGGAATGGTAAAATATCCAAGATTCATGTTATGTCTGAAAATGTATGAATTCCTGAATATGTAAGCTGATGTACTCTTAATAAGAGACCAACTTTGCTATCATCCGGCTCCTATATAACTATTTAATTATATTATTTAGAGAATGTGGGTACTTTTTGTAAAAGGAAGGAAAATAGAGTAGAACTTTATAGACCACATCTAAGGGGAAGTGACATCACATCTACTTTAATATTGGTACTTACTCATAGATGGCGCCACTAGTCACATTGCCGATTACATACTATTTTTCATCAGTATGAAATTAATTTAAATTGTACTTTAGCTAGATCAGGGCTATCCAAACAATGGCCCGTTGTTTTCATGTGGCTCGCGACAAGTTTTAATCACAACACCTTCGTCTTATGTGCAATAACAATAATAAAATTCAGTGTACGATTTGTCTACAAGTTTTGTTTTGTTACGTTAAGAATATAATAAGACGTTATTATACAACTAAAAACATATTGCTGGCCCTCCAGCTTACCGTAAGAAGTTTAATTAGCCCGCGAAGGTATATACCTTCGCGGGCTGTTAGTCGGCGTTAGTCGGCGGCTGTCCAAACTATATAGTTTGGACAGCCCAGCACTAGATAATACTATCATGCCCTATGAAGGCATATTATTACAAAAATAGATACTAGAACAAAAGTATAATGCGAATAAAATTTATTTGAATCCATAACTAACAAAATAAATATACGATTATATCTAAGGATGGTATGGATGTTAGTATACTTAAAACAGAAGATGCAGTTACCTAGATGGAATTTAAAATAAACCGTTGACTTTCAGCCGATGCCGATTAATAACTAAAAGTAGCAGTAGTATAACGTACCTGCCCTTTTATTCCCATGTAGGTACAAAAAACAAGAAACAATTGTCAGTTTTTCGCCACTATAAGAACAAAAGAACTTAGTGGTCAGTCAAATTTTATTGTAATGTCGGTAGGTATTCATAATATAAACGCTAGTAGCTTTTAAACTATCCGGTAACCTAGTTCTTGGTCAATTTCTTTGAAAGGTGAAAAATGTTATTGTGGTACTTAATAGTTTCCACACAATGAAAGGTCGTAAAGTAGACACATGGCAGTAAAAGTGAGGGGTAGATAGGTATCTTACCCTACGTGGGGTCTATCTAAAGAGTAGCATAAAGTATTTATTCAAACATTCAACGTGATAGTTTCGTTCAGGGTTGAATGTTGTAGGTGTGACTTAGGTGTCGATAAGCACTTACCTACAGAAGTATTTTGGTTATTCATAAATAATGATAAAGTATGATATAATTTTAATTTAAGTGTAGTCTGTGTATAAGTAGGTGGTGAGATTATAGAGTTTAAGTGCTCTGTGGGATATACCTACCTAGCTCTCTGTTTAAAACACTGAGAATGCTAAAGGCTAAATAATAAAACTTGGGTCTCATATTAAACAAGTCAATACCTACCTATATCGACACTTTCACAGTCTATTACATAGAAGTAGGTAAACATTCACATCCTTCAAAGCAAACACCTATGCAATTTGACACACGTTTGAAGTATCTATCTACGCAATGCGATCGCTAAACTGTACCTTGGTGCGATATCCTTAAGAGAAAACGTGGACGTAATAAATAGCTAGATAGGGCTGGTCACGTGCAGGTCGTCCCATTTATGCTTCTTGTGAACACTGAAGGAAGTGCTGCAATTACTTGTGATGGATAGTGAGAGTTAGATGCGGCCGTAAGGGTCGCGCCATCCATATAACTTTCTTATCTACCTCTGAAGGGAAACTTTATGACATCTTTACGGGAATCGAAAAATATGGACGACCCTTGACATTAAAACGCCGGTCTCGTATACCCAAATCGGATTTAAGAACTAAGGTTCTGACCATAGTACACTGGTTAGCGAGTAATCGGCGATTAACCGTGCCGCCCTTGCGTTGTTTACGCGCCGCCGAGAGTTAATTGCGGTCACAGTCGGAACTTTATACAAAATAGGCACCAATAGGCTTCAAGGGTTGTTTTGGATTTTCCTTAAAAATAATTATGGGTTGAATGTCCTTTGTTAGCTCTGTTATTTATTACATGGGTACTCATATACATACATATGTATACTTATAGAAACATATACCTACTATACCTACGTATAACTTTATGTAGGTACATCTACGAATCCAAATCATTTTGTATTGTACATATATCTGTATGCTAATTAAGAAGACATTACCTTCGGGTTGCTGTACCCTCGAGCCACGTCATCATCATTAGCCTATTGTTGCATAAAGGCCTCTTCCGTGAAGAATGCGGTGACCACAATCCCTACGCTTTGTAGGGAACTTGGTGATCATGAACATAGTTATTCTCTGTGGCTGATCGCAGTTTTTATACGTTGGTACTGCAACTAGTATTGGCTGAAGTATATAGGCTGAAGTCTGAGTGTAGGTACTTCTTTTACCTACCATTTCTTACATAGGTAGTTGAAGTTATTAGCATTTTTGTAGCAATAACATTGCCACGGTTATAATATCATAATCGTGACATTGTGAAGATAGTCCTGTATCTATATCGTTTACTAGCTGAGCCCGCAACTTCGTACGCGTGGAATAGTGATTCACAGCTCTTCCCCCGTAGTTGAAAGTATAATTATATGTAGCCTATATGTTGACCCGACCTGTTAGTAATATTCATGCAGAATTTTAAGTGTATCCATGCAGCACTTTTTGAGTTCATCCCGAACATACATACAGACAAACAGACAAAATTTCTGAAAACCATATTTTTGTTTCGGTATCGATTGTAGATCACGCCAAAAGTATTATAAAAAAAATATTCAATGTACAGTTTTCACTTTCCTACGATTTTATTATATGTATCGATATAGATTTTTTTTTGAAGGTGTAAAATCATCGAATGACTGCTCCCGCCTGGGTGAGGCGGGAGGGAGTGTAAGACTCTTACTGACTAAAAACAATCCCGTTCCTTCTCTTGCACGTCGAGCCGGAGCCCCGGTTACCCGTTAGGTTCTCCGCGACTCCGAATCGGCATCGGCCCTGTTGGGCCCCATCTGTGGTGGTCTGACGGCTCTTTGAGGCGCGCGCGGAACTCGACGCGCCGTACGCACGGGTCTGTTTCTGGTCGGACGGGGAGCCACCCATGCTTGCGGCCGCAGGCCCGCGCCCACGGTGGCTGGAGATCGTGTATTGATATATATAGATGTACAAATAATGTCTCATCATATCTTTAACTAGTTATCAATCCAATGTTAACAAATAAACAATTTGTTAATTAGGTACTCTAGTGTCTTCTTACATTCTAGAAGAATTTTAATTTGAAGGAATCTATTTACACCCATAAGTAGTGCTCACTTTGAATATGTAAGCACCCCCTTTTCACAGACATGGGCCACCGACAGCGACACTTGTTTACTTATTCCATTAGGTAGATATGTGGGCTACTGGTAAACAAATTATAGAAACAGTCGTACTGATTAAATAGAAACGATGTAACCGAGACAGCACTCAATACTATCTACTTCAGCACTTCCACTTACTAACCTACGCAAGTTATATATATTTTTGGAACAATAATTATACATATTATTTTAGTCTACAAAAGAATTATTACTGTAATGTAATGAAAGTAGTAATTATCTAAGAATATTATAACAGTTATTTTATTAGCTGTGGGTAGAAGATAAATGCTATTTAGAAATACAATTTATGTAAGACAACGCTTTTTAAATTATCCTTGGTTGCTAGGGAATTCTATTTGGCTCGTTTCTATTTCAGCAGAGAGGTAGCAAAAGCCATCAAGGATAAAATAAATCTTTCAAAATATTATGTCTGTTTTGTGATTTTCCGCCACGGATCAAAAGTCATAATCACGTTAAAATTTGTACAGAATTTTTGGCTTCTTTCCGAAAACCAAAGAATGATGTTTAAGTATTTATATAAAATGGTTTAGTAGGTAATTCTTGTTTTTGCCCACAACCTCAAGTAGGTACATTTACATTAAGGATTTAGGACGTCAATGAAATCCAAAAGATGATAATTTTAAGAGCTCATTCGTGCATAGATACCTATATATTTTTTAATTTCTATTTTTAAGCAACATCCATTAATAATTTTATCTTTCCCTGCTCGTAAAGTCATCCACACTCAAATTCAATATTGTTTATTCTTCCACTGCATTCCTCACGCGCAAGCGAAAACCAATCCTAATTTAATAGACAATTAAACTTATTTTCATCTTTACAAATGAGTCGGTATCTCTAAGATAAGAGACGTCTTGGCCGTGGCCTTCGATAGCTTGAATATACAAAACATTACATAACCGGTATAACATGTATTTATATAAAATGTATTGTAATTGTAATATCTATCATTTTGTCTTAGAATCATGGCCGCTAAAGTACCGAGTGTTACATTTAATAACGGTTTAACCTGTCCTATTTTGGGACTTGGGACATGGCAGGTAAGGCTTATTATTTATTAAAAACCTTAAAAAAAACTTTAAATAAGGAATTAAATGTTAATTTTTAAAATAGTGACCCATTTAAAACCAATCGCAGGTTCCTATATTAGTTCGCGTTTATGCTGTATTTACTTAACTTTGGTTAGGCATTCATTATGAAAGAAATTGCTATACCTACGTACGCCTAAACCAGGCACAAATTCGCGCTACCGCTAAAATAAAGCCTTAAAGTAATTAATAATAACTGTTCTGAACTTGGAAACTGAACCTGGGCTATTCGTCAGCTGTAAGGCTGTCTGTCACTAACGAGACACTTCAGTTTTCAGGTCGTTACTGTGAAAGTACTTAACTAGTTATTATACTGTAAAATATATCATAACTGGTTGCCAGTATAAAGTGTATTAAAATTTAAGCATCCTGCTCCGTTATAAACGAGAACACTCGGTTTTATTTATAATAAAACATCCCTTTAAACATTTTTTATATTTTAGTCCAATCCCGGTGAGGTGACGCGTGCGGTCGGCGAAGCTATCGACATTGGCTACCGACATATAGACTGTGCTCATCTCTATTTTAACGAGAAGGAGGTCGGAGAAGCGATCAAGGAGAAAATTAAGCAGGGCATCGTAAAAAGGTCAAAATATATGTCCATTTTGTATAGCCAGTGCCTTTTCTGCTTCGGATCAGAAGTCTTTGGTCCCGCAAACCCCTAATCCACCTGCCATCTTCTTGTTATTAAATAATAAAGTTTTGTAGCAAATGTTCGGACGGAAGAGTATTTTTGTCTACTTTTATTATTGTACCTGTAAAAAAACTTCCTACTGAAATCGTATATTTTATGCTTCGAAGTTAGGTTTTAGGAAAGTAAACCATTTTCGAATGAAACGGAACTCTCTGACTAATTGTTTTGGCGTTATTCGGGCGATGTATATTCGGTGTTCCTGAGTACATATCTGTACGTTATTACAACATGATTTTATATTCTACATTAATGTTTTACAGAGAGGACCTTTTTATAACATCAAAGATATGGAATACGTATCACAGGCCGGATTTAGTGGAAAAGGCTGTAAAAATCTCGTTGTCTGATCTCGGATTGGATTATTTGGATTTATATCTCATTCACTGGCCTATGGCTTACAAGGTAAGCCCATTTTTATTATTCTTAAAGTTGTATACTGCGCACTAAGCCCGACGCAACCTCGAATGGAAATTGAGTTTATATTAGGTAAGCAAAATTCTTTAAATCCACAGAAGACTTATGTAAATCAAAACGTAAAAAAACTTTTCAATTTGGGCTAAAGCTTTCCCAAAACGATACTCGGGCAACATTAGCTTTATTATGTACAAAGCGGAATAGAATGTTTGTCTGATTTTAGGAAGGGAGTGATCCGTTTCCTTCAGATGCTAATGGCAAAGTGATTTACTCCGACGTCGACTACGTGGATACGTGGAAGGCTATGGAGAAGCTTGTCGAGAAAGGCCTCGTTAAGAGCATTGGAGTCAGCAACTTCAATTCTGTACAGTTGACTCGAATTCTGAACGCTGCTACAATTAAGCCAGTGACCAATCAGGTGAGGTGTGAAAACGATTCAATCGAACGTGATTTTGATGAGAAACATTACCTAAAGATACATTGTTGATTACTACTGTAAATACTTCTAGTCACAATATTAGTATTACATTCATACACTAACAGACAGAAGTGGACTTACAGTGTGAAAACACTTATGCATAGCAATATTAGTGGCGCTTATGGTCTTATTTATTATTTTATTAATTAATACATATACCGTCACAAAGATAGGTAATATGAAATACCAATGTGTGCGTGATGGACGAATGTTTTTATGCACATTAATATGAAATTGCTTACGCATTGCCTTGTGAACATCACTCACACGGGCAAATATGTGTGTGCATGTGTGTAAGCGCTGCAGCGCAAACGATAGTAGTCATTACGGTGGTAGTCGACTTTGTTGTTTGACTGTACCTACTGGACCTCCTCACTTGCGTGGAATAAAATAGATATGAAATTTGTATGTCATATAGACAAACTTTCTTTAGTAGCATATTATTTGATTTGGGATATAACTTTTAACATGACATCGCAACTGTTTCTAGATAAAGGGGTTCTTATACATCCAGTTTCTCAGTTATGAGCCATTAAAAGTGACATTGATATTTATTTATTTACTATGATGTTTTATAAAACATTCGGTACGCTACTATGCTGAGGATCATTACTCGACCAACATACTACTATAATGAAACCTAAAAATTTCACCTTCGGGTTTTTGCAAAAATTGTGTGTAGGTATATGTTTACTGAGTACCGCTCGGCGGTCAGTCATATCGTTTACACAGAGTGGATGTGTATCGTTTGTGCGTTCGTATTGCAATCACGAATACAATTCCTAAAATCACTTGCCATGGTGAACTGCGATGGGAAGCCTGTGATTTGTTTGGTTCATTCTATAGCCATATACCTACCGTTTATAAATTCAACTTGTAATCTTTGAACTTTTTCTTCTTCAATATAAATGTAGATTGTAACCTTTTTATCTTTTGAATTTTATCTAATTTATAAAATTGCAACCGTTAGGATCCAAGAAAATATCTCTTTAGAGTAATGGGATAAAGGAAATAAATTATGAGAGCAAAGAAAACCTTGTATCTTGTTAGAACTATAATACCTATTATATCAACTAAACAGTTAAACCGAGAATTTATTATTGCAGGTGGAATGCCATCCTTATCTTAACCAGACTAAGTTGTTTGACTTCTGCAAAGCTCGCGGTGTCACTTTGACGGCGTACAGCCCTCTCGGTAGTCCTCAGCGCCCGTGGGCCAAACCTGACGAGCCTTCCTTATTGGAGGACCCCAAAGTATTGTCCATTGCGAAAAGGCTAAACAAAACTTCAGCGCAAATTTTAATAAGGTAATAGTATTTTTGTTGAATGAGTAAAAAGTCTTTCGTTGATAGATAGAAAACATTACATATTTGTAACACATTTTTAGACGTTTAAATTTAGTTCCGGACAGTTATAGTTTGAAGACCACCAAACGGTTAAGAAAAAAAAGATAAAAACCATAAGGTTTTAGTCATAATCGCGTCACGCGAGGAAGAAGCCTTTAGCAATGGGACATGAACTAGGGCAGCGAGTGGTGGCTGGTGGGTGAAAATTGTTAGCAAGCGTGCATGTAAAACTTCAGTGTGGATGGGTGAGGCTTGAAATTACGTCCCCTCGCTCGTTGGTTCGCGACTGTACCGTTTTGCAATTGCCGGTCTAGAATAGTTTCCATGAAAAAAATTATGGTACAAATTGTGGTAGCCATACATTTGAAAATTGATTTTAGTAGCACCGGTAGTAGAAGCGATGTTTAAGCTTACGTTATTATGTAAATAAGCATGTCTGTTAGGAATGATTAATCGCGATCAGTCTGTCACAGCCTGGCCTTACTTTATTATTATTATATTAGACAAACATGGATGGAACAAAGACAAGGACAAGAACATATTTTGATTCACTTCCCTAAATAGTTTGACACTCTTTATTCATCGACACATTAAGGTGTCCGAAACTTGCTGGAAGTAATAATGTAGAAATATGTTTACTTTGTTTGTTTTTAAACCTAATTTACATTATCGATATCCGAATTCGATTCAGAGTGGAGGTCACGGCCAGTAAACAAAGAAATGATTTCGTAATCTTATTTCGGTAGCATACGTTAACCCCCTCGAATGTAACCATCAATTATAATATGCATGCATTTTAATTAAACTTAATTGGCCCTATTTTCATAAATTATATCTCAATACAATCATTTAATAAATTACTATATTTTCAGTACTCATTTCAACTTTAAGTAAACGTATGTTAATGCCTTGTTGGCCGTGTGGTCGTAAGTGCGATTGCCGGGCAAGGTGTCACGGGTTCAATTTCCGGGTCGGGCAAAGTATTACTGTTTTTTTTATCCTCAGTAGTACCACGGAGTTTGGAATTGTGCTCGGTATAAGCCAATAGACTCACCACTACAACATGGGATACATAACATAAATAGTGAAAAGTGGTTACATTGTACAGTGGTAGAAAGTGCCGTCACGTGCATCTTTGCCTAATCTTTCGGGGATAAACGTATATTATCTAATGACGCCCACAACTAAATATGCTTTTCTTTTTAACTTGTAATGTGAAAGCGGCCGGACATTACGACGGAAACCAATATGTATTTACTGTACCTAAAACAAAAGATCAGAACCTTCGGAACCGTTGAACGGGGAAATTCTATTTGTCTTATGATATTTTTTATAGTTATTTCCTGTTGTCTGTCGTCTGGGTGATGTATTGTTACTGGATGTGGCCGTTTTTAACCGACTTCAAAAATAAAAAAGGAGATTCTCAATTTGACCTGTGTGTATGTATGTTTGTGCGCGATAATCTCGCGATTGGCTGAACCGCTTTTCAGAATAGAGTTCGTTATACTTAGGAGAAGATTTGAGTATAGTAATTAACGGACTTAAAAATGAGGTTTGAAGTCGGTTTTATAAACGTAGTTTATAAAATAATCCTTACTATTATAAATGGGAAAGTGAGTTTGTTTGTTTGTTCCGCTTTCACGCCGTAACTTCTAAACCGATTGCTTTGAATTTTTGCAGACGTAAAATTAGAAGTCCGGATTAAATAATAGGGTACTTTTTATCACTGAAAATTTTGGTATTTCCGAGGGAAAACCAAAAAAATTGGTATAGATGGCGCTGTGTGTGTTGTATAGGCTACTTTTATCCTTTTGTGACGCTAGCGAAGCCGCGGGTAAAAGCTAGTTATAATATAAAGCATAAATCAATACAGAAAAAGTTATCTATTTTTTTTTTAATAATGATATGGTTCGTTCCTATGTTTACCTTTACCGTTCATACTTTAAAATTACTTGATCAAGTTTACGGTTTGGAAGTGTTCAGAATATTATTTGCGTGGGCGTACGTGCTTGTTTCAAAATAAACGCTAAATACCAGCAAGTATCAGTCTTATAAAGACTTTAGTGTGTGGGAGTAGTGTTCATTTAATTAAAGTGAACTTTATTCTATAATTATTCATAAAGTTCGTATAATTCCGCGTTGTATAATTAAATAAAAACTGAATTATACACAAGGCATTACTGTACCTAATGTAAGAATTTACAACTTCAATTATGCGATGATATAAAAATTAATACGATCGTTAAATATGTATGAAAAAACCTTTTTAGTCAAAATTGTTGTATACAAAATTTGTGTAGAGAAAATAAAAATAACCGGGACGCGGGGCAATGGAGCATCATTTGATGCGATCGACACCCGCCCGAGTGACCGGAACGAAGCCGTTTAGCAGATTTTATCGTTTTTATTTGTATTTCTGTGCTTAGAATAATAAAATAACATTTTATTGCTGTTTGATAACATCGATCGACAAGCTGTATATTGGTATTTATACCATAACCTATATAATAACTCGACCGGAGTGATACCACGGCCTAACAGAAAACCGACGTGAAACATCGCTTGCGTCGTGTTTCGTCGTGTTAGTGAGGTTACCGGAGGCCCAATTACCCCCCTTCCCCAGTTTCCCCAATCCCCGAATCCTCCACAATCCTCAAATACCCAATTCCCAAAAGGCCGGTAACGCACTTGTTACGCCTCGGTGTTTCAGGTGTCCATGGGCGGCACCAATTGCTTACCATCAGGTGATCCGTCTGATCGTTTACCGGCTTATCCCATAAAAAATAAATAAATGAGATGATGTTGAAGTAACGTGTTAGCACACAATCTCTGAGTTTTCGTTTATATATCGGTTTCCATTTTCACCACAATATCTAATTGTATACATTTACCTATTGAAAGGTTGAAGTTATATCCTCCATCTGTTCACTTGGAAACAGATGGGCAAAGGAATATTTTTGTACGATGGTTCCATTATCTTAAACGCAAAAACGTAAAAGGTTTTTCCTAAAAAACCGGCGAATTTAATTAAATATTTTAGGATTGTGTAAAGTGCTGAACGAAATTACGCTTACGTAGATACAACACATGCTTTCCGTCATCAAGACAAATTGCACGTCTAAAGCACAACAAAGTATCGTATGCGGATAGGTTGTTTATAATAATATGCTACGGACTACGAGACGGCTACGACGTCGTAGCTTCTGCTACGCCGTAGTAAATGTTGAGACATCATTTTTATCAGGTTTATACTTTCTTCTAAACTATTTTATATTATTTTAGGTACCAAGTGGACAGAGGTATTATTGTAATACCTAAATCGACGTCCAAGAGTCGCATAGCAGAGAATTTCAACATCTGGGACTTCTCTCTGAGCGAAGAGGACATTAAGGCTATTAACAGCTTGGACTGCAACGGTCGGCTTATACCGCAGGCTGAGTAAGTGTAACCTTTAATTTTAGTTTACTGAATTAGATTCCTTGTTATTTCTGATCTTACATTATAAAATTAACAACAAGATGGAAGACAATGGAGAATTTGATTTCGATTCCTAGGAAGGTTAATAATAGTCTCTTACAATTTTGATTGTTAATAAACAAAATATTTTTTCTATGTAATTTCTCAGTAACTTTTTGTTGGCAACCTTCCTACGCTTTGTGTGCCCATTTTGAACTCTCCATCACTTTCATCTTCAACGTACCTCATGTATTTCCGTAAATAAAATTTGTATTAATAGCCTTCAATTGATTGAAACATCCACGCAAACCTTCAACTTGAAAGTGTTTTACCGAAATATGATTTATCCAAAGTATTATTCCAATGTTATGACAAGCCTGTAGGCTGATTGTGGGCGTGGGTTGATACTCCAGTATAATTTTAAAAACAAACTATTAAAAAAGGCAAACTCGGCTTTCTCTTCGGTTAGATTTCGCGATAGGGTCGACATTTATTTTAAAAAAGTTGCCCATTTGAAGATAGGACGAAATTAATCATCGCTTAAAGTCCCCTCTCTATTTGCGTTGGTCCTAATTAGGTTCAAAAAATTGCTGACGACTCTCAGTTAAATAAAACTCTTGTTTTATCTTTTCCAAGAGATATCAATCTCAGCAAATCTTTGGGGACAAAAATTAACGGATGTCGTTTCCCAAGGCAAGTTTCCTGCACGGAAAGTTTCATTGTCGTTCATTGATCCACTGGGAGGTGATTCAGTAACAATCACACAAATAGACCTTTACTGAATCACTAGCTGCTACCCACGGCTTCACTCGCACGGAATTAAAAATTAAATATTTAGGGGCCTGTTGGTGACATTAGTCGAATTGAAAAAATGTTTTTTACATTTCCCTCAAAGCTGGGTTCGGTTTTATTTATCTAGATTTTATCGAAATGTATAAATAAGTTATGCTGTAGTTATAAATGGATGGTCAAGTGGTTGCTAAGTTACGGCGTAACGAACAAGTTGACAAACGACCTAACTTCAGTGTTAACGATATTAATAATTGGGATTATGGTAGTTAGGATTAAAGCCCGAGTGATTAATACGGTCGTTGTAACTAATACGATTTTAAACTTATTCTTTAATCACAGATTAACGTTTTGTTTGCAGGGGCCGAGAGCACAAGGATCATCCCTTTGCTAATCCTGATATTATCTTTTAAATGTGGCATTTGGTCAGTTTAATAGAACAGAGATTACTTCTAGAACAATTACTTGGAGATAAAAATTACAAAATTAAATACACGTGTGCTTCTTTTATGCAAACTTGTTTTTTATGACCCAAAAAAGGAAAGCAATATCCAACACTTTACTGAAACTTTTATTACAGGAGCGTGAAAGAGCGTGAGGGAGTATTTAATTTAAAAATGTTTATCGGTGTAGATGTAGCGCATGCAATACATGGTATATTGTGAATAACCACCATTATTCACTTGTGTCCACGGCGCGCTGGGAATGGGTGGTTGTGTAAAGGAACCGTCAATTCGTGCGGGCCAAGCAATATCCGGCCAAACACCCATCCCTGCGTGTGTTTCCGCCAAACCTGTCAGACGCTTGATTTCGCTAAATTGTTCGCATTCCTTAACCCTGTCTTGTCTGATTCGGAAAATACGGGCGCATTGAAATGGTCGGTGGAATGGTCAGTGCGGACTTTAATCATCTTGATTGATAAAGGACACGTAGAAGCAGGAATTCGTCTTAGAAAGGGTCTTTGTCTGCTATTTGCTCGCTTAGTTTTTAGGGGTTGTGAACCGTACCTTATGCTTTACGGTTGCACATGGTGAAATATTTACTATTAAATTAGTTGATTAAAAATTTGTTGTGTTCATTTTCGTAGCAATATCTGAATAATATTTACCTTAAGCGATATTTTTACTTCACAAATCTGTGTACGTCCATTGTATGTAGGTATGTATTTAACATTTCCGCGGTTGCGTACAAACACAGCGGGCGCAAAAAATTCTGGTTACTATGAAAATATGCCTTTTTAAAAAACGTTGTGTACAGTCCCTCCCTTCGTTATGTTACATCTCACCATATAGAAAGAGAGAAGTAAAGGGAAGTTATTTCGTACGAAATATTATTTCCTTGACGCGAAAGGCGAGCTTCGCGCAAACTAGCCGCCCCGCGCCGCACGTCGAACAGACAGCGACGGTCTCAAGATAAGGTAAGACCTTCACGACGTACTTTATGATGTTAGAAATGTTTGCAAGATACCAAACTTAATAAATTCTTAGCATGACTGCCCCTTCTGTTACTGTGAGACTTTTATAAACTTTGCAAACCGAGTGACGGGCCTTATTTTAGACCCTGGTCGTTCTACTTCAGTGTTCCCTATTGAGAGGTATCGATTTTGTCAGGTCACGTATTCTTACCCGAGTCCAGTAATTCATCCTAGACGGGGCAACAGGGGCAACCTGAAGAATTTTTAAGGATTAGGTATCCTATTTTGTAAAAATGAAGTTTGTTGCGAAACATTTTATATTACAGGCGTTGTAAAAAACTTACTAAATTTACTAACACCATCTTTTTTATGTACTTTGTATGAAATGGGCAGTATGATAAGATTAACCAGATGTCTTGATGGAATGATGGAAAAATGTAAATATTGCTACTTGTCATAATTAATAATTCTGAGTCTCTGTGTCTTACATAAATACACGCGTAGTATAAGAAAGCCCGAGCGAATTCATCAAGATAACTTGAAATGAAACGTAATTTTGTAAATTGTACATCACGGTACAATCACCTCGGGGCCTTCTTTTATTTAAGAGTACGTCGGTACCTGTAGATGATATGCTCCCAGCATAAGTTGATCTCTCTATGAACAAGTTTCGAGAATGTGCTGTCATTTCTCTTTTTGAACGTAGAAGATCAGCCTGTTTAACTGTTACTATTTTAGAAAAATAATCTACACTTTTCTTAATCGTAGAATATTCAAAGTAATTAATAATTTTTATTTAATCTATACGTAGAATTACATAAATGTATATATTACAGCCAAGTTAAGTTAGCTCTTTAACATTACTAATACAAGTGGAAAGCTGCTCGATATAAAAGTGTGTAGGGTACTAGACCTTTTAAAAAAAAGACGTAGTGTCACTGCAGATATTACCTGTCCACCGCCAAGAAATGGATAGTCGTTGTCTTTACACGAACTCCCAATAATTTACCTGTTGTCTTGGGATCTTTTCGACCCTAAATAGGTATTCACATGACGTTATTATATTGACTGCTGAGTAGCCATCAACCCGCCTGTCTGTCCTTAGAAAACCATATTCATAAGACTCCTCTAAGCCCAAATGTTCAAAGAATACTGATGAGTTTAAAACCCAAGTTCGTGATTTTTTATCCGAAAGCACTCAAAATAAAGTACTTCGGTAATGTAGGGTAAATAAAAAACTGTTGATGCCGCCACAGACCGGAGTAGCGTTAATTATTTTTTTTTTATTTCTACTCAGTTGATTGAACGTCAGGTAAAAAATGGTTTTCAAATATTAGAAAAATCGTTCGAAGTATTTCATTGAAAATACACTTTAATAGCGTTGGAAATTGCTGAATCTCCTTTAGGTTATACATGGCCGAATTTCTGTTTTAGCACGTTCAGTGAAAAGAAAACGAATGTACCTAGGTACCTACATTTTTTGCTTGGTCCACAAGCGTGCCTGGTTCGATCCCTGGATTGAACAAATGTATTTTAGGTATTCGAATAAACATTTTCAGTTTTAGCGTACATTGATTTGGGATTGTAGAACTGTAATTGGTAAAACGTCTACCTTTTCATACTTCCAGTTTAGAACTTCACGACATATTCAAATCCCGTATATTTATAGTACGCTCTTTACCTACCCGTCCCGGGAATAGCTGGCCTGTTATAGCAAAACACCAACCTTTACTTGTTTAAAAAGAAAACAAGTAAATAAAACAAAAACACCGACGTAACTATTAAATAATGTGCAAGTTTAGTTTCGCAGTGTTTGCAGCAACTATCCGTTTTTCCGTTTTGGTTTCGGCAAACTAGTTAGTTCGGTTATACCGGTACACCGGAAAACTATACTATCATAATACTGCACCTCTACTATAAGTTTAAAGCAATACCATTTGTCGAAACTCGATTGCGACGACGTCAACTTTTTGTACACCAAATATTAGTTCGATGTGTGACCGCTAGAGGCGCTGTATAACTGACAATTAAAAAATTCACATCGTCGCTATCGAGTATTGAAATACTATTGCTTTAAACTCATGGTAGAGGTACTGGTATACCAGTATGACACGGTAGCGTAATAAGCAAGCTCTGCACGATCCCCCGTTACACCGTTTACTCTTTCATTTGGTGCGGTATGAATGTGCACGGTCATTGCGGTAAGGACTTAAGGTATTTTCTATCTGGTATCTATGAAAAATTTATGTTCCTATGTTCTTTAGTATTCCGCTCATTTCATTTTACTGGAATCTATTTCAGATTTTATTTTGCGGTTGCATTTTTATTTCGTGTGAGCCTGTGATTTCTCCTGTACTGGTCTGGTTGAGTTCAATACGTGGATCGGGTAAAGAATTATTGGTGTTTAACTTATGAGAAGGTCTTAATTCTATGTTTTAACTTTCCCAATAACTTTTTAATTAATCAACTTATAATTTACAGCAATATAGACTAACAGTATGGTGATGATCTATTGATTATTTCAATCAAAATTTTGAGTATATCGGTTTGTTTAGAAGAATTTCTATCCTAATATTGATGAATGGAGCATCAAATAATGACCATGAGTTGACTTATTACTATAATATCGTCACACCAGTTCAAGGTTACAATAATGTGGGGCGAGCCTGTTGCCTAAACGTCAACATTTTAGAACACTGATTTTGCAATTATTTAATAACAACACTCGCCTTTTTTACCCAACATCGTAATAAAATATATAAAAAGAAATTCTAATATGAAAGCAATAGATATTTTTATATAATCAGATGTAACAATCATTTTGAAAGGGTTTTCACATACCCATATGAACGGAAAAATACTGGCACATTGGTAGGTTGATGGTAGGTACCATAGGCCCTAGATGAGTTAAATGTTTTAATATATTCTTACGAAAGGGGTAGATAGAGGAGAATAATTGCACATATAGTATACACTGTAACATTAAACAACACTGTATCTATTTAGATAAATACAATTGGAATGTCTGTTTGTAAAGATAAGATAACCACTTTTTGTCACATGCATAAGAATATAGAGGTACATACGATACACATACCGTAGTCGTGGTGTCCCGGAGGTTTAAGACGCCCGCTTCTCATGTATGAGGATGCGGGTTCGAAACCTACCAACGGCAAGTACCAATGTGACTTTTTCCGAGTTATATGTACTTTCTGACATTATCTAGACACCACTGACAAATGGTGAAGGAAAACATCGTGAGGAAACCTGGGCTTATAATTTCTAATTATAAGCTTGACATCGCCAACCCACATTGAGCAAGCGTGGTGATTAATGCTCAAACCTTCTCCGTGTGAGAAGAGGTTTTGCTCAGCGGTGGGCATTTATAGGCTGTTGATGATGATGATACATACCGAATTAACATTTTTTACAAATTTTGTATGTCTGTTTGTACTGGAATCGATGGATCAATTTTGCCAGACTTTTATTGGCAGGTACCTGATGTACTAAGGAGTAACATAGGCCACTTTTATTTTGGAAAACTTTTTACTTGTTACATTCTAATACTCATATTCTACGCGGACGAAGTCGCGGGCAACAATTAGTGTTATTATAAATTCCATCCCAGTAAGTAGTCAGCCTACTGTCATACTTTGGACACGATGTGCCAGATTCCATGCTACTAATGAACTGTTAAAAACCGAAAACACTATACTTTAATCTACCCGGGAACCGAGCTCTAAACCCCTTGCCCGGCACTCCAAAGTTAAGATCGATTTTTTCTTTCATTCAACAAAACTTTATAGGTATTCTTTTGTTATTATTTTCTTCTGAAGCTAATTGTTGTGAAATGAGTTTTCTTTACGTATAATGATAGTCGTGGCCACTTGATGGTTTTTAAAATGCTTTGTCAATTAAGCCATTGAAAGTAATTAAGGCAGTCGATTCTAATGACGCTACTGAAACTACTGTGAGTAGTAGCAAATTGAATAGATATAT